TTATCGTGATTCATTTTGTAGTTTTTCCATTTTTTTCCAATTGTGTTGTAAAAATTTTGTGTTTGTTGTTATACATTTAATAATTGATTGTCATTTGATTGTGCAGTGAAAAGGCGGTATATAAATAAAGATTACTACTTACTACTTGATTCTTTTCTCTACCTTATTTTGGCTAGAACTGAATCTGCTGTTAAAATCATTGGCGGTGCAACCACAGAGGCTAAAACCAAACAAATATTATCTAAAATATCAATACTTGTCGGAGCCACTTCAGGGCTTGGATGTCGCTTCCTCACGGTTTTCACACAGGTCTAAAGACATTATAATATCACTGTTTTAAAGTCTATCTTATCTTATCTTGTCTCTTTTTAAATGAAAACAGTGATATTATAAAACACGTAACAGAGGTCAGAGGACGTAGATAATGACCCGATCGAGGGTGTGTCCTTTGTTGTGAGCTGGCTGTGTGACGTGTAAAATCCATGTAATTATGAACACTTAAAAACTCATTAGTAAAACGCTCTGGTGGACTGTTTGAAGTTGAAGATGATTTTCTTCATCCAACTCCTTTTTGAACCAGATACCGGTTATTTGTCTGTTATATTGATATATGTAAAATATGTATTGTGCAGGTTCAAAATAAATGAAATGAACTGAGCTGAACTTTTGGGACAAACACATCTTTGCATAATTTCAGGAACAAATACAGATAAAGTAAACTACCTCACCTTAAACACACAAAAGGTTTTCCGCTTTGACAACAATAGGTGGTACTGAGTAGTTAGCATATCGCTTCTCTGCAAGAAGGTCCCGGGTTCGAATCCGGGTCGGAGCGGGGCCTTTCCAAGTGGTATTTTCATCTCCCAGTGTCTGCGTAGGTTTCCTCCGAGTGCTCCGGTTTCCTCCGAGTGCTCCGGTTTCCCGTATCACAACAAACATGTACAATAGTTCTTAGTGTAATGTGAGTGAATGGATGGTGGCTGGAGTAGAGAGAGAATTAAACAAAATATGAACTCAGAACCTGGCAAAGCTTTGTGTGACCATTGTTATTATTATTATATTATTATGTTATTCTATTCTCACAATATTATCTAATTATTAATCTTATTTTCAGATTGTTACTTGTGTGTATGTTTTTTTAATTGTGAACTACTATGCAAGCTACAGCAATATCCCTGTGGATCAATAAAGTCTGCCTTACTAAAGTCTTTACCTACTGATTTTAATTCAGGTTTAAAACATAAAAGAAAAAGAAGATTCTATTCCCTTCTCATGACTGAATGAACCCATGTCTTCCTTCACCTTTAAAAAGTGTTATTTATGACAGGATGAGTCTGGAGCGTCCGGTGCTGTGGTCAGTTGCAGACTCAGCAGTTTTGTGTTGCCAGGTCATGCAGGTTTTTTAATCACATTAGACCTAAAATAGGAGCTTCCAGACGTCAGCCACAAACATCCTAACCATGACCCCATGACGACGCAAACGCTGGAATTATTAGTCTGAGGATTATTTGGTTTAAAGTCAGTGATTCATCCAGACGCAATGTTTAAAATCCAGAGGGAAAAGTCCCAAAACCCCAACAGTAGTCGAGTTATCACGAGTTTTCAAACACAAAGATGTAGCCTCAAAACATAAATATAAAACATAAATATTTTGGATCGGATGTAATGGGATGCGATCACTCTTCTCCTGCTTTGTTGTTATTGAGTTGGATTTTCTAAAACAACGAAACTCCTACAAGGGCTGAACCGAAAACCCCCAAATTGACACTTCTAAGTTTGCCACTGGCCTGTTGTGGCAAAGTCCAAACATCAGAGCATGAACCCGGGGAGACTGTCGTGTACAAAGGCACATATGAAAGTTGATCTGTGGACTTTCTCTTTCTCTTTTAACTTCTTTATGCTGCATTCGATCCTCGTAAGTAGCATAAGCTACATGTAGCTCTATCGTCAGTCGGTTGTGTTTACATCTAAAACCACAAGAAAAAAATGCATTGCTTTTATGTTAAATGATAAAATCTTTACCTTACCTTCGAAATGTCTGGAATTAAACTATTAAAACAATCGATGGGCTGGAAACAAGAGAGAAAGTTCACGTTCACAACAAGTAATCCAATATGGCAACGTGATTTGATGCCCTCCGTTTTGAGAAAACTACCCACAATGCCATGCGGTCGAGCCGTAAGCTCAGAACTCTTAATGCATGTATTAGCATTGGCTGATTCTTATTCTGGGTCCACCCCCACAGGTTTGGGGTGGTATTGCAGCATGTCAGCGCACGTCATTTTGGCCACTTTTGAGCCTGGACCCGCCCACACCGAATAGTAAGTAAGTAAGTAAGGAAAGTTTATTTGTATAGCGCACAGACCAGGATCACAAAGCGCTTTACATTAAAACACATAAAATACACATAAAAGTCAGATAAAAGCAGAACACAGAAAACACAGTTTACATTCACAGAGGCCTATGAACAGTGGGAGAGAAAGACTGTCTAAACAAATACGACTTTAGTTGGGACTTAAAACAGTCTCTAAGAGACTGAGGAAGCTCATTCCAGAGGAGCAACTGCCTGGATCTGTCTCCTCTGGTGCGGGGGACCATCAACAAGTTCTGAGTGGGGGACCATCAACAGGTTCTGAGTGGAGGACCATCAACAGGTTCTGAGTGGAGGACCATCAACAGGTTCTGAGTGGGGGACCATCAACAGGTTCTGAGTGGAGGACCATCAACAGGTTCTGAGTGGAGGACCATCAACAGGTTCTGAGTGGAGGACCATCAACAGGTTCTGAGTGGGGGACCATCAACAGGTTCTGAGTGGAGGACCATCAACAGGTTCTGAGTGGAGGACCATCAACAGGTTCTGAGTGGGGGACCATCAACAGGTTCTGAGTGGAGGACCATCAACAGGTTCTGAGTGGAGGACCATCAACAGGTTCTGAGTGGAGGACCATCAACAGGTTCTGAGTGGAGGACCATCAACAGTTCTGAGTGGGGACCATCAACAGGTTCTGAGTGGGGACCATCAACAGGTTCTGAGTGGGGACCACAACAGGTCTTGTGGGGACCATCAACAGGTTCTGAGTGGAGGACCATCAACAGGTTCTGAGTGGAGGACCATCAACAGGTTTGAGTGGGGGACCATCAACAGGTTCTGAGTGGAGGACCATCAACAGGTTCTGAGTGGAGGACCATCAACAGGTTCTGAGTGGAGGACCATCAACAGGTTCTGAGTGGGGGACCATCAACAGGTTCTGAGTGGAGGACCATCAACAGGTTCTGAGTGGAGGACCATCAACAGGTTCTGAGTGGAGGACCATCAACAGGTTCTGAGTGGGGGACCATCAACAGGTTCTGAGTGGAGGACCATCAACAGGTTCTGAGTGGAGGACCATCAACAGGTTTTGAGTGGGGGACCATCAACAGGTTCTGAGTGGAGGACCATCAACAGGTTCTGAGTGGAGGACCATCAACAGGTTCTGAGTGGGGGACCATCAACAGGTTCTGAGTGGAGGACCATCAACAGGTTCTGAGTGGAGGACCATCAACAGGTTTGAGTGGGGGACCATCAACAGGTTCTGAGTGGGGGACCATCAACAGGTTCTGAGTGGGGGACCATCAACAGGTTCTGAGTGGGGGACCATCAACAGGTTCTGAGTGGAGGACCATCAACAGGTTCTGAGTGGGGGACCATCAACAGGTTCTGAGTGGAGGACCATCAACAGGTTCTGAGTGGAGGACCATCAACAGGTTCTGAGTGGAGGACCATCAACAGGTTCTGAGTGGGGGACCATCAACAGGTTCTGAGTGGGGGACCATCAACAGGTTCTGAGTGGAGGACCATCAACAGGTTCTGAGTGGGGGACCATCAACAGGTTCTGAGTGGGGGACCATCAACAGGTTCTGAGTGGAGGACCATCAACAGGTTCTGAGTGGGGGACCATCAACAGGTTCTGAGTGGAGGACCATCAACAGGTTCTGAGTGGGGGACCATCAACAGGTTCTGAGTGGAGGACCATCAACAGGTTCTGAGTGGGGGACCATCAACAGGTTCTGAGTGGAGGACCATCAACAGGTTCTGAGTGGGGGACCATCAACAGGTTCTGAGTGGAGGACCATCAACAGGTTCTGAGTGGAGGACCATCAACAGGTTCTGAGTGGGGGACCATCAACAGGTTCTGAGTGGAGGACCATCAACAGGTTCTGAGTGGAGGACCATCAACAGGTTCTGAGTGGGGGACCATCAACAGGTTCTGAGTGGAGGACCATCAACAGGTTCTGAGTGGAGGACCATCAACAGGTTTGAGTGGGGGACCATCAACAGGTTCTGAGTGGGGACCATCAACAGGTTCTGAGTGGGGGACCATCAACAGGTTCTGAGTGGGGGACCATCAACAGGTTCTGAGTGGAGGACCATCAACAGGTTCTGAGTGGGGGACCATCAACAGGTTCTGAGTGGAGGACCATCAACAGGTTCTGAGTGGAGGACCATCAACAGGTTCTGAGTGGAGGACCATCAACAGGTTCTGAGTGGGGGACCATCAACAGGTTCTGAGTGGGGGACCATCAACAGGTTCTGAGTGGAGGACCATCAACAGGTTCTGAGTGGGGGACCATCAACAGGTTCTGAGTGGGGGACCATCAACAGGTTCTGAGTGGAGGACCATCAACAGGTTCTGAGTGGGGGACCATCAACAGGTTCTGAGTGGAGGACCATCAACAGGTTCTGAGTGGGGGACCATCAACAGGTTCTGAGTGGAGGACCATCAACAGGTTCTGAGTGGGGGACCATCAACAGGTTCTGAGTGGAGGACCATCAACAGGTTCTGAGTGGGGGACCATCAACAGGTTCTGAGTGGAGGACCATCAACAGGTTCTGAGTGGAGGACCTCAGGGGGTGGATCAGGCCCTGGATGTATTCAGGCGCCTGACCATGAAGTGCCCTGAATGTCAGCACCAGAATTTTAAAATGGATTCTGTGTGAGACAGGAGCCAGTGTAAGGCCTTCAAGGCAGGAGTAATGTGGGTGCTCTCCTGTGGGTGCTCTCTCCTGTGGGTGCTCTCCTGTGGGTGCTCTCTCCTGTGGGTGCTCTCCTGTGGGTGCTCTCCTGTGGGTGCTCTCCTGTGGGTGCTCTCCTGTGGTAGCTCTCCTGTGGGTGCTCTCCTGTGGGTGCTCTCCTGTGGGTGCTCTCCTGTGGGTGCTCTCCTGTGAGTGCTCTCCTGTGGGTGCTCTCCTGTGGGTGCTCTCCTGTGGGTGCTCTCCTGTGGGTGCTCTCCTGTGGTAGCTCTCCTGTGGTAGCTCTCCTGTGGGTGCTCTCCTGTGGGTGCTCTCCTGTGGGTGCTCTCCTGTGGGTGCTCTCCTGTGAGTGCTCTCCTGTGGTAGCTCTCCTGTGGTAGCTCTCCTGTGGGTGCTCTCCTCTCCTGTGGTGCTCTCCTGTGGGTGCTCTCCTGTGGGTGCTCTCCTGTGGGTGCTCTCCTGTGGGTGCTCTCCTGTGGGTGCTCTCCTGTGGGTGCTCTCCTGTGGGTGCTCTCCTGTGGGCTGGTCTCCTGTGGGTGCTCTCCTGTGGGTGCTCTCCTGTGGTGCTCTCCTGGGTGCTCTCCTGTGGGTGCTCTCCTGTGGGTGCTCTCCTGTGGGTGCTCTCCTGTGGGTGCTCTCCTGTGGTGCTCTCCTGTGGGTGCTCTCCTGTGGGTGCTCTCCTGTGGGTGCTCTCCTGTGGTAGCTCTCCTGTGGGTGCTCTCCTGTGGGTGCTCTCCTCTCCTGTGGGTGATCTCCTGTGGGTGCTCTCCTGTGAGTGCTCTCCTGTGGTAGCTCTCCTGTGGTAGCTCTCCTGTGGGTGCTCTCCTGTGGTAGCTCTCCTGTGGGTGCTCTCCTGTGGGTGCTCTCCTGTGGGTGCTCTCCTGTGAGTGCTCTCCTGTGGTAGCTCTCCTGTGGGTGCTCTCCTGTGGGTGCTCTCCTGTGGTAGCTCTCCTGTGGGTGCTCTCCTGTGGTAGCTCTCCTGTGGGTGCAGGTCAAAAGCCTCGCAGCAGAATTTTGGATGACTTGTAAACGAGACAGGTCTTTCTTATTAAGACATGTAAGCAGCTGTTACAATAATCCAATCGCGAGGAAACAAAAGCGTGGACAATCATCTCCAGCTCCTGACCTGAGACCATGTGTCTGAGACCATGTGTCTGAGACCATGTGTCTGAGACCATGTGTCTGAGACCATGTGTCTGAGACCATGTGTCTGAGACCATGTGTCTGAGGTCAGGAGCTGTACAACCGATGCAATTTTGCTAACCTGCTATTTCCAGTATATTATGTTGACGCTGTTTGCAGACACATTGATTAACATGCACTGTCCTAAACTCAAATACATAAATAAAAGGCGTATAAGAAGACAGGGCTCATGCTACAGTCCAGTTTTGCTAAGTGCTAGTTTGTTAGAGGAAGCTAGCATGTGTCAAGTATAGCGGCTCATCACTCACAGACTTGAGCCTAATGTAGTTTAATACTTTCACATTTCAAGCTGAGGCTCCGTCACAGACTGCTGGGGGAGGACTCGATGCTACGGCTAAGCTAACCCGAATCCTTTACTGCACCTTTAATGTCTAATTCAAAATAGCAATTGATATTTTCCTGCTGACGTGGTTGAGTGTGTAAACTGGTTTCTCACACGTCCTAAGGATGGTCCTGATCGTCCATGTAAAGTGAAAAAGCTTTGGGCTCAGTTGCTGACGCTGAAGTTTCATGTGCGTATGTTATGTTTGTATAAAAACCTGCTAATCTCATTAAACACGTATCGCCTTCATTTGCTTCAGCTCTGTTTGAGTCAAAGTTTCATTTTATTGTTCTATGTCTTCACATTTCTGAAATGTTTGTACAACTTTGTGATCGTTTACTGCAAATGATTATAGTCCTTTAAAATAAGACTCAATCATGTCATTAGATTAACTCTGAGGACTTTACAACATTGGCAACTATAGATTTAAGAATCAAAAACAAATAAAAATAAAACTGGGAAAAACAGATATAAACTCAGGAAATTCAATAATGTCTGAAATATCCATGAATGTGACACAGGGAGAACATGCAAACTCTTATGAAGCTAATGAATGAATGAAAATAACAATAAAACCATAACATAAGTTGACTCTCTGCATTGACGGGTTCCGAGAATTTTAAGCCAGAAAAAAAATATTGACATTGTTAGAGATTTATCCAGGACCAAAAAAAACGACCAAAACCTCAGAACCTTGAGATTATAAAGATCTGATTTTAAAAGTATTTTTAAATCTGCACAAAGGAAAACAGGACATGACAAATGTCCCGTAACTGGAATTCTGATTACTCTGATTACTCAAGAAATATCGTTTTAACTGCAGTAAAGTAAGATTCAGCTGAAAACACACCAAAGTCTTCAAACGTATCGACTGTTTGAGAGCGTGAAAAGAAACACATTTGTGAGTAAGTAATCTCTGTTTGTGTTTGAGCTGGTATTTATTTGATCATTTGTATCATTTCGTCGGTCAAACCCCGTCTTGTGACCGGTGACGAAGAATGTTCTGTCCACGGCAGAAGTACACTGCAAAAAATGATGAAATAAATGTGTTGACAGTGAAAAAAACGCTGAATTCAAGCAAAAGTTTTTGTTTGGAGAAGATTATTATCAATGTCTTTTATTTCTCATTCAAACTGGAACATTCGCCATAAAAACAGCTTCCTCTGCTGTTGGACTCATGAACACTTCATAAACCATGTCCCCGCCCTTTATAACGTCACTGCCCTTTATAAAGTCCCTTTACTGCCCTTTATAAAGTCCCTTTCCTGCCCTTTATAAAGTCCCTTTCCTGCCCTTTATAACGTCACTGCGCTTTATAAAGTCCCTTTCCTGCCCTTTATAACGTCACTGCCCTTTATAAAGCCACCTACAGCCCTTTATAAAGTCACCTTACTCTTTCTCTTTGACTGTGTGCAGTGAGAGACAGTCTTTGACTTCCTGTTTTTTACACAACAGTAAAAAAGATTCAGTTTTAGGAGAATATTATGAAAGTATATTATTTCGTACTTATGACTTATATTTGTATCATGTTCAGCTCCTCGGCCCCAGAGGCCACAGCAGCAGATGGGGCCGACATCAGTGCACGAGGGCCGCTGTGGGCTGGACCTGAGACCCACTGGGATCCAAGGGGACTTCCGGAGCTTTAACTTGATAAAACAAACGGGAAAGGCTCAGATAATCCAGGATACAGTCATTGACACTCACCGCAGAAGGAACCGGAAGGACTTTTTCTCACGTTTCTCTTCTGATTTATTTTTGGATTTTTAACAAAGAATCCACTTCAGCAGGATCCCTGGAAGTAGAACGGTGACAAAAGAATGCTTCATCTTTACTTTAAATTCTACAAACAAACTCTTGCACAACTTTCCCATCACCAGAACAACTTCCCGCTCTGAGGTGTGAACATTACTGTCACTAGCCACAGGTACATGGGCTATTTTTAATCTGGTCATAACTCTATCTATCTATCTATCTATCTATCTATCTATCTATCTATCTATCTATCTATCTATCTATCTATCTATCTATCTATCTATCTATCTATCTATCTATCTATCTATCTATCTACTTAAGTTTCATCCTGACTCAGAGGTTTTGGGGAAGTGTGTAGCACAGTGTGTAGAGACCTTTGAAAAAGAAGAGACTTTGAGAGTCCAGAAATGAACTGTAAAATAAACCAATGCATTATCATTGATTGGTTTTATTGTGTCCTTGGGCAAGACACTTACAGTTTTTCTCAGTCGCTTTGGTGCATTTCTCACATCATTCTTCACATTTGCACAACTGTTGGTGCATTTCTCAGAACAATTAGTGCAAACTGCAGAACCTCGTGGATAACCTGCAAAAGTGCGTCACTTTCTCAAAATGAAAAGTGTTTTCCTCAAAAGCAAGTCCAAACGTTAATGAAACTGTCTATGTCGTCAAAATAATATGTCCTAACAACATTGAGTATGAACATCACAGTCAAATGACTTAGTCATGTTTTCATTGTGAAAGTTTACTCTCTGTGTTTTCAGAGTAAAAAAGTCAGCTCTCGGTGACACTTGAGCACGACACACTATACACGACCTGTGCAGCCATTTACAGTAAAAACTACAGTAAAGTTACACAAAGACTGTATTTAGAGACGTAACTGACATATATGTATGTATGTATGTGTGTATGTACTGTATGTATGTGTGTGTGTGTGTGTGTGTGTATCTATGTATGTACTGTATGTATGTATGTGTGTATCTACTGTATGTATGTGTGTGTGTGTGTGTATCTATGTATGTATGTACTGTATGTATGTATGTATGTATGTATGTGTATATCTATGTATGTATGTACTGTATGTATGTATTTATGTATGTATGTGTATATCTATGTATGTATGTACTGTATGTATGTATGTATGTATGTATTTATGTATGTATGTGTATATCTATGTATGTATGTACTGTATGTATGTATGTGTATATCTATGTATGTATGTACTGTATGTATGTATTTATGTATGTATGTGTATATCTATGTATGTATGTACTGTATGTATGTATATGTATATCTATGTATGTATGTACTGTATGTATGTATGTATGTATGTATGTGTATATCTATGTATGTATGTACTGTATGTATGTATGTGTATATCTATGTATGTATGTACTGTATGTATATGTATGTATGTATGTATGTGTACTGCATATGCTCTTTGTATTTGTGTTGCACAATGCTGTAGAAGTGCAGACACATACATGTATATACATAGAACAAACATACAGAAATATCATTATGGTAGAACTGTGACAAAAATAAACAATAAAGCACACCTCAGAGTGAAGCTGAAATTCACCTGAGATAAATTGTTCAATTTAGGAAATATTTACAGGAAAAAAAAGATAAAGGAATGTATAAAATTAGCTTGACAGTTATGATTTTGAGAACTAGTTCAACAATTTTGTATGTGATGACCAAAGCAATGAAATGAGAACAGTTAGTTTTATAGTGAAAGACTATTCAGAAGTGATAAGTGTGTTTCGTTCTGACTGACAGGACAGAAGCAAATGATAATGTTAAAAAACGCCGAGAATTGTTTTAAAGTTATTGATACATGAACGAAAGCATTTGAAATGTGTTCAGAGGAATGAGAAACTGCCATGATCATGTGCACCAATGACCCAATGTTGTGGAGGTTGAACAAATAGTTTTGAGAACTTTAAGTCTGATGTGAAAAATGCACCAAACCGACTGAGAAAAACTGTAACCCCGCTGTGCCTGAAGCCCCCGCTGAAAGATCTCAGCTCCTGTGGACTCAGCACCTGCAGGAGGATCAGTGAGGGGCTGGTGCTCTGTGGACTGGGTACAGCTCTGACTGCCACCCCCCCGACCCAGAAATGGATTAAGGGGAAGAAAATGGATGGATGGTTTTATTCGTTCGACTATTTTACAATTTTTTTACAAGTACTTACAATATTTACAATCCTCACTTTACACTACTTTTTATACATGTTTCTTTCTGTGTTTACAGCATAAACCGATACAGTCAAATATATAAACATAGTGAGTGAGTATACACGGTTTAGAGTTGTTACATCAGTCTGTCACTCACACAGAGATGGGCGGGGCCAGGACAGGAGGCACAGACCTATTGTACATGTTTTTAGTGTTAGGGGAAACCGGGGCACCCGGAGGAAACCTATGCAGACATGGGGAGAACATGCAAACTCCACTCAGAAAGGCCCTGTTCCGACCTGGATTCAAACCCAGTACCTTCTTGCTGAGAAGCGAGAGGGCTAACCACTCAGCCACCGTGCCCCAAAAATATATAATCTATACTTTTACCACGTGTTGTTTATTTATGGAAACAGAGAGAGATATTTATGAATTATATGTTGTTTTTGTGACGATGCGGAGCCTGTGTGTGTTTCAGGGTCAGCTTTTCCCATCGCTTCCACTTCTCATTTCATCCTCGGCTTTTGATCGCCCGAAGTGAAGCGGATTCCGACCAATCAGAGCTCACGCAGATGTTTGTCTTGAGCACTTGTTTCCTGTTTGTGTGGCAATGCGGCACATCCTCCTGGAGGTGGTATTTTTAGCCTGTGAAGGTGTTCTCGCTGATGGGAGTCTGTGAAAGGACTGAAGCTTCCTTGTGCCATTGTTTTGACCTTGTGTTGTGGTTTTTCCACGCTTCTCCGTGTGAAGGAAATGCGCAGTTACTAAACTAATATGCTCCTGTGTTTACTGTTGTCGGATGTAACTGATATTTTCTCATTATTGTGTGTTTATGTACGAGAGTGGACAGAAATAATGGGAAGTAAAGAGAGGTTAATATTTGTGTTTGACTGAAGGGGTTTGTGAGGATAATGAGTCTTTTATCAGGATTTATTTAGACATTTTACAGGTTTGTGACGAGCACATTATTTGTCACGGTTTTCACAGCGCGGTCATGTGACCACCTGGGTTTGTCTGTGAACAACATCACTCTTTGGGAGGATTTGGACAAAACATCAAGGAAATGTGCACAATGGCCCAATGAACTTTTGTCTCCTCTAAAACACCATATTCACTCACCTTTTCCCGCCTTTTTTAACCTTTTCCCGCCTTTTTTCACCTTTTCCCGTCTTTTCTCCCTTTTTTCTCTTCTAAACAACTACATATTTCATTAAGACTAAATTTCAGAATAATTGATAACGACTGTCTCTTAGAAAACACTTAACTCTGAGCAAACGATGTTATGAAAAACATATTTTGGGTCATATTATAAATTATACATAATTATCGTCATAGACTGTAAATATTAAAGACGTAGTGACGTCTAGCTCTGTTCAAACTAAAGCGTCTCCAATTTCACCTTCTGAGGCCTGTGATATTGTTAGTGTGTGTGTGGGGGGGTACTGCAGACTAACTGCAGACTAACCTCACGCTACATAGAAAAATGTCCCACTTCTATGGGACATTTTGGGGACAAAAAAGTGGGACAAATGTCCCCTCACTAGAACAGTTGGACCTCGGCTGACAGAGAACCTGACAGAGAACCTACAGAGAACCTACAAAGAACCTGACAGAGAACCTGACAGAGAACCTACAAAGAACCTGACAGAGAACCTGACAGAGAACCTGACAGAGAACCTACAGAGAACCTACAAAGAACCTGACAGAGAACCTACAAAGAACCTGACAGAGAACCTACAGCTACAGGTCAGAACACTGCCCTCTGACTGGTCAGAACGCTACCCTCTGATAGGTCAGAACACTGCCCTCTGACTGGTCAGAACGCTGCCCTCTGATAGGTCAGAACGCTGCCCACTGACTGGTCAGAACGCTGCCCTCTGATAGGTCAGAACGCTGCCCTCTGACTGGTCAGAACGCTGCCCTCTGATAGGTCAGAACGCTACCCTCTGATAGGTCAGAACACTGCCCTCTGACTGGTCAGAACGCTGCCCTCTGATAGGTCAGAACGCTGCCCACTGACTGGTCAGAACGCTGCCCTCTGATAGGTCAGAACGCTGCCCTCTGACTGGTCAGAACGCTGCCCTCTGATAGGTCAGAACGCTACCCTCTGATAGGTCAGAACAATGCCCTCTGACTGGTCAGAACACTGCCCTCTGACTGGTCAGAACACTTTAATCTGAACCATAAGAGACCCGCCCACATCTCCTCCTGGTGAATCTTTAACTGTGTGTGATATGAAGAAACAATAAGCCATAAAATACCACAGTGCACTTTTTATATTTATTGCCAACTTTTTAAAGTAGATATTTTCGACTCATTTCCTGTTGTCGTCTTCACTAAAGCCAAAAGTCTTTTCATCTGAAATATGTTGGATCTTCTGTCAGAGCGGCCGAGGGCTTCGGGGAAACCTGACGGTGGCTTATAAAGACTGTGCAAAGACTGAAAAAGCCATCGTCTGGTCCATATTTGGGCATCGTCTGGTCCATATTTGGGCATCGTCTGGTCCATATTTGGGCATCGTCTGGTCCATATTTGGGCATCGTCTGGTCCATATTTGGGCATCGTCTGGTCCATATACATGTGGGACAGCTATAAGATAATACTCCAGATATTATCATAGATCCATGGAGTAGAAAAATATTTGATGTATTTGTTTGGAATGAACAAATGTGACAGAATATTCAAAACAAATCAGTCTAATGAGAACATGACTTATTAAAGGGCCCTAATCAGTCATCGTTAAAGGGCCCTAATCTGTCATCATTAAAGGGTCCTAATCCGTCATCGTTAAAGGGCCCTAATCTGTCATCATTAAAGGGTCCTAATCCGTCATCGTTAAAGGGCCCTAATCTGTCCTCATTAAAGGGCCCTAATCTGTGTCATTAAAGGGCCCTAATCTGTTATCATTAAAGGGCCCCAATCTGTGTCATTAAAGGGCCCTAATCTGTCATCATTAAAGGGCCCTAATCCGTCATCGTTGAAGGGCCCTAATCTGTCATCATTAAGGGGCCCTAATCTGTCATACATGTAAAGGGCCCTAAATCTGTCATCATTAAAGGGCCCTAATCTGTCATCATTAAAGGCCCTAATCTGTCATCATTAAAGGGCCCTAATCAGTCATCATTAAAGGGCCCTAATCTGTCATCATTAAAGGGCCCTAAAATCTGTCATCATTAAAGGGCCCTAATCTGTCAACATTAAAGGGCCCTAATCTGTCATAATTAAAGGGCCCTAATCCGTCATCATTAAAGGGCCCTAATCTGTCATAATAAACTGCTCTTTTCCAATCCTTCTTTAACTGATAACAGTCGTTCAGAGATATTTGAATTTCTAAATTACTTTTCCAGCCTCTAAAATCTTGTTATTGTTTTCATTTCGATGTCCCGCCCTCCACCGTTTCACCAATCAGAAAGTCTGTGATCCTGGCGCCAGAACTCACCGCGTGACTAAATCTCACTGTAAAGTACCCATGTGGCCGCTAATCTCACTGGTAAAGTACCATGTGGAGCTAATCTCACTGGTAAAGTACCATGTGGCGCAGAACTAAAAAAGGTCTCGTTATGATTTTCAAATCATTAACGACAAAACAAGGAATAAAACCAGGATTTCTATCTTTGTGAAAAAGGTGTTGGTTATAGATTTGTTGTTGACAAAACTCTTGTCTATTCAGCTGTTATGGTCCCAGCTGGATTCGTCTGCATATCTGGCAACCTGAGTCAGGGAGAGTGGGAGAGGCTGCAGTACCACTTTTGGCCACATTTTTACAGACTGCTCAGTCCTGACTGTCATTAGGTTTTAGGTAAAGGTGAAATGACTTTGTTGGCGTGAGCAGTCTAGAGGTAATAAAACCGGTGTTATAAAAGTTTATCTCATTATCTTCTGATTGTCTGTTTCTTTTTCAAGTTTGTGTCACAGGGAAGACAGAAAAACAAGTTCCTAGTTCCTGGTAAAAAGTGCAAAAACAGATATTGCTAAATCTCCACAAACCCACACAGAGAGGAGAATCTGTCTGCCATTAAGTTGCATTATACTGGTTTACATGAAAAAAACCCTATTAAGTTGCATTATACTGGTTTACATGGAAAAATCCCTATTAAGTTGCATTGTACTGGTTTACATGGAAAAATCCCTATTAAGTTGCCATTATACTGGTTTACATGGAAAAATCCCTATTAAGTTGCATTATACTGGTTTACATGGAAAAAACCCTATTAAGTTGCATTATACTGGTTTACATGGAAAAATCCCTATTAAGTTGCATTGTACTGGTTTACATGTAAAAACCCCTATTAAGTTGCATTATACTGGTTTACATGGAAAAATCCCTATTAAGTTGCATTATACTGGTTTACATGGAAAAATCCCTATTAAGTTGCATTATACTGGTTTACATGGAAAAATCCCTATTAAGTTGCATTATACTGGTTTACATGGAAAAATCCCTATTAAGTTGCATTATACTGGTTTACATGGAAAAATCCCTATTAAGTTGCATTATACTGGTTTACATGGAAAAATCCCTATTAGGTTGCATTATACTGGTTTACATGTACAAATCCCTATTAAGTTGCTTTATACTGGTTTACATGTAAAAACCCCTATTAAGTTGCATTATACTGGTTTACATGTAAAAATCCCTATTAAGTTGCATTATACTGGTTTACATGTAAAAACCCCTATTAAGTTCCATTATACTGGTTTACATGTAAAAACCCCTATTAAGTTCCATTATACTGGTTTACATGTAAAAACCCTATTAAGTTGCATTATACTGGTTTACATGGAAAAATCCCTATTAAGTTGCATAATACTGGTTTACATGGAAAAATCCCTATTAAGTTGCATAATACTGGTTTACATGGAAAAATCCCCATTAAGTTGCATTATACTGGTTTACATGGAAAAATCCCTATTAAGTTGCATTATACTGGTTTACATGGAAAAATCCCTATTAAGTTGCATAATACTGGTTTACATGGAAAAATCCCCATTAAGTTGCATTATACTGGTTTACATGGAAAAATCCCCATTAAGTTGCATTATACTGGTTTACATGGAAAAATCCCTATTAAGTTGCATTGTACTGGTTTACATGGAAAAAACCCTATTAAGTTGCATTATACTGGTTTACATGGAAAAAAACCCTATTAAGTTGCATTATACTGGTTTACATGTAAAAACCCCTATTAAGTTGCATTATACTGGTTTACATGGAAAAATCCCCATTAAGTTGCATTATACTGGTTTACATGGAAAAATCCCCATTAAGTTGCATTATACTGGTTTACATGGAAAAATCCCTATTAAGTTGCATTGTACTGGTTTACATGGAAAAAACCCTATTAAGTTGCATTATACTGGTTTACATGGAAAAAACCCTATTAAGTTGCATTATACTGGTTTACATGTAAAAACCCCTATTAAGTTGCATTATACTGGTTTACATGGAAAAATCCCCATTAAGTTGCATTATACTGGTTTACATGAAAAAAACCCTATTAAGTTGCATTATACTGGTTTACATGAAAAAACCCTATTAAGTTGCATTATACTGGTTTACATGGAAAAATCCCTATTAAGTTGCATTATACTGGTTTACATGGAAAAATCCCTATTAGGTTGCATGATTACACTGAAGTCCTTGAAACTGCTGAAGTCCTTGAAACTGCTGAAGTCCTTGAAACTGCTGAAGTCCTTGAAACTGTTGAAGTCCTTGAAACTCTTGAAATCTTGAAACTGCTGAAATCCTTGAAACTGTTGAATCCTTGAAACTGTTGAATCATTGAAACTGTAGAAATGTCTGAAAGAGCTGAAGTCCTATTAAAATGCATGGGCCTATTAAAATGCATTGCAGAATTCTCAATGCAGATTTTTGTCCGATTGCGGAAAAACCGGAAATCGCTGAAGTCCCAAAAGTAATAGCAATAATCTCCCAAACATGTGGAACGTTTTGATGTATAACTTGTGGAAATTGTTGAAAATGTGAAAGCTGTGAAACGTGTCAAAAAAAATGACGGAATAAAGAAATACAAAACCAATGGTTGACTGCGGAAGGTTCCGCAGTCAATCAATAAACATTTTTTTATCTTATAAATAGCAATATAGATACATCTAATATAAATAAAATGTATATCTTAAGCTTAATATTATCTACTTTGAATGTATAAAAGCGTTAAACCTGTGACTTTGGGGGCGACTGTGGCACAGTTGGTAGCGTGTTGGCCTTTGAGCCTGAAGGTTGTGGGTTTGAGACCACAGTGAGACCTTTTCCACTGCTGTCTGCTGTCGTTGTGTGCTTGGGCAAGACACTACACCCACTTTGCCTACAAGGAGCGCAGAAGTAATTGTCGCTGCTTGCCTTGATGTTGATGTGTATTCATCAAACAACCTTAATCTTGTTTACTTATCTCTGCTTTTCCAGATGAGTTGAAAAAACAGTGGGAAATGCGAAGAAGACAAAGAGCAGCTTACGGTAAGATTAAGTTGAACATGTCCTGTGCTGTTGCCTCCACGAGAAGGCTGCTTTGTGAGAGATTTGTGGGATCTTTGTGGGATCTTTGAAATGTTGCTGCTTCGGCCACTTCAAACACGGAGCAGAAGGCCTCGGTGACCAACTTGGAGGCGGTGCCAGCAGTTTCCTCCGTCATCTGCTCCTTTCTGACCATTTGATCAGCCAGAAAGTGCTTTGAAGGGCAGGTCTGGTTCAAACACTCCACAATGTCCCTTCAATTCTGATTCCCGATGGCTTTTTGTTATTTTGAGTCATGGTTTCTGTGTTTGAACTGATTCTCTGATCTGTGTTGGCGATTTCAACGGTTTCGTAAAGTCCTCTGAGAAACTACTGTTGTGATTTAGGGCAAAACAAGATTGAATTGAACTGAATTGATAGTTAACTATATAGTTCAAAGTATTTGGTTCTTCTTAACCAGACAATATCAGGTTTTGTGGTGTTTTTACCTGGGCATCACAACATCACGACACCTTATATTGTCTGGTATAGAAGAACCCAAACTATGTAAGGATCCCTAAACCAAAAATTATATCTGACAAATCTAAATGAAAAAGAAACAAAAATTGGCTTGCACATTTTTCATTATTTTCTCTCTCGCTTTCAGCTGCGCTCGAAAATCCTATAGAATTGGAAAATGACTTGGATCCAGTTGAAGAAAAACTACGAACACAAATGGAACAAGAGAAAAGGACGTGTGTATTTTTCCCTTTCCTCCATAGAACTCTGTCATACGCTTCTCTCCAGCAGCAGGAGGAGGAGCTGTGCAAAAAGGTGTCTGACCAAAATGTGTGTATGGGACGCAATCTCAATGAAGCAAATGTGTAGATGGGACAATGGTGGTAGAAGGTGAAAATAATGGGGTCATAAATAACTATCTTAATGCACTGTTGTGACTGCACTTTACAGGGCTGTCTGATGCACCAAACTCTATTCTAATCTGTTTTTAACCTGTCACATCCACAGACTGCAGGATAATTAGACCTTGTTTTCACAGTTTTTTTTCCTTAAATTCTTAAATCTGGTTTGTGCATTGCTGTTCATCTGTTGTCCCCCTGTCTGTATCATGAACGCACTGGTGGGCCTCGAAACCCTGACTCCATAAACCTAGGACTGGTCCCCATAGAGTAGAAATGTATTTTTTTAATTTTAGTTACAGGGCCACTTTAGTTCACTAGACTAGTCCAGCGGGCCATCATCCCGGACTGAAAAACTGTCTTGACTGACATCGGGCTGTTCTGAGCTTAAAAATTATCTATAACAGAGCTGAAGTTGGCTGAATGACGCATGTTTACCATCTCACAAGCTTACTGGGCTTTAGAATAAGGTACCACATGTCTATATTGGCTGAGCTGAAGTTGGATGCATGACACAGTGAACTTGTGTTTATGATCTCAAGGACTACTTCGGATTAGCAAGACAGAGGGCCACATACAATGACACAGAGGGCCACAATTTGCCCCCGGGCCTGAGTTTGGCCATGCCTGCTCTACAGACTAACACATTGGTGATATATGTTTTGGCAGCTACAAAAGCACCATTGACCATCTGAAAACATTACGCACTGAGATTGAGCACTTGCAGCTGTTGTTGGAGAGGACAAATGTCAAGATCCAGAGGGACTTCCAGAAATGGTGGAGTGAGGAAGCGTCACGAGCTCAGGTAACGGCCATTTTATTCCTCCAACCGATCCATACATGACGGCTCCACATCAAACTCACCTATCCCTGACAAAGCTGTGCGACATGTTTTCAGCATTAGTCATTTCTTTCTGTCTTTTGGGAGTTTTGTGGTAGTTTTGACCTGACCTGCTTCTGTTACGGATCATCAATATGAATCTATTCACACACAAACTATACCCCAAGGTACCCTTACATCACCAAATCTATTGTCCACATTTCACCCCAGTATGTTAAAGCCACTCTGTGTATTTCTTACAGTTGCTCCAAATGAAAAAACAGCTTTTTAAGAATATTTACCTCCAACATGTTTATGAATTGTTGTCATAGACTCAGAATGTGACGTATAAATGTCCCTGAGGCTGAGGACTCTCTGTGTGAAGGCTCCATCTTTAACTACAGAGGCTGATAAGGGACAAAAAGGAGTTTGAGCAGGAGTTGGCGACCACAGTCAAAGACCACATATTGTCCTGTGAAGCCACTGCAGTCCTGGAAATTACAATATATGATCTCAAAGCTAGACGGGAGTAAAAACTACACTGTGCACCTTTAAGCAGACACACGTCGAACATTTATAATCAATCTTTGGGAAGAGAAGAAAGCGAGTAAATACACAGAATAGACCCAGACCCACAAAGAAGTCGGTTATGTGATTTTATTTAAGCTATAGCTCATGTCCCGCATCTTTAATTTTACTTTTAAGGAATCAGAAGCCATGGATAAGAATGAGGCTGCATTGTTGACCAGACACACATCTCCTCGTTCGTCCACATCCAGGTATCTTGAGATATTGTAAAGAGACTGAGCATTTGAGTGCGTGCTGGACTTTTTCTGTCAAATTCAACACATTAAGTAAGCAAGTAATCAGACCAGAGTCACAAAGCACTTTGCAATTGGTGTGGGCGTTTGTCTCTTTGCACTCCACAAAGAGATGGGAGCAACTGGGTTCGAAGCCTGGTTGAAACAGGGCCTTTCTGAGTGGAGTTTGCATGTTCTCCCCGTGTCTGCGTAGGTTTCCTCCGGGTGCTCCATTTTCCCCTACCACTAAAAACATGTACAATAGGTACTGGCCCCGTTCCCATCTCTGTGTGGAGTGACAGACTAATGCCCCGGCTTTAACTCTGGTCTGTGAAAGGTGCTGTATCAATAAACATAAGATTACTGAGAAAATACTATTATCGCATTTTTCTGTATTTATAGTGAATCTGAAGCTGCACTAAATACTCAGGATTACCACGCTAGACCAGCTCCAGATTTTCATCCTGCGAATCGTTCAGAAGACTTCAGGTTGGTCTCATGTCACTTATCTTTCAAAGTTCCTCATGTGAGCAGCATAATGGGTTTATATTTTGTATTTTCTTAGAAGCCAAACGCCACAAAGAGGACCTCCTGCTGTTCCAGTTTGGGTTGGTCTGACTCAGGCTACGATCTCTGACAAGACGGACTCTTCTCATCTCAGGTAGACGGGTCGTACCCACTGTACTAAAACAGGTTAAAACACTGTATTTACAACTTGCTTTAGTATCATACATTCACATTGAAATGTCCAGATGACCCATATGTTTATTTAAAGTAGCAGTATGTAAGCTTTTCATGTTCAGTCATCATTAAAGGGCCCTAATCTGTCATCATTAAAGGGCCCTAATCAGTCATCATTAAAGGGCCCTAATCTGTCATCATTAAAGGGCCCTAATCTGTCATCATTAAAGGGCCCTAATCTGTCATCATTAAAGGGCCCTAATCAGTCATCATTAAAGGGCCCTAATCTGTCATCATTAAAGGGCCCTAATCTGTCATCATTAAAGGGCCCTAATCAGTCATCATTAAAGGGCCCTAACCTGTCATCATTAAAGGGCCCTAATCTGTCATCATTAAAGGGCCCTAATCAGTCATCATTAAAGGGCCCTAATCTGTCATCATTAAAGGGCCCTAATCTGTCATCATTAAAGGGCCCTAATCTGTCATCATTAAAGGGCCCTAATCTGTCATCATTAAAGGGCCATATGGTGTCATCATTAAAGGGCCCTAAATCTTGTTATTGTTTTCATTTCGATGTCCCGCCCTCCACCGTTTCACCAATCAGAAAGTCTGTGATCCGGGCGCCAGAACTCACCACTTGGAGCTAATCTCACTGGTAAAGTACCATGTGGCGCAGAACTAAAAAGGTCTCGTTATGATTCTCAAATCATTAACGACAAAACAAGGAATAAAACCAGGATTTCTATCTCTGTGAAAAAGGTGTTGGTTATAGATTTGTTGTTGACAAAACTCTTGTCTATTCAGCTGTTATGGTCCCAGCTGGATTCGTCTGCATATCTGGCAACCTGAGTCGGGGAGAGTGGGAGAGACTGCAGTACCACTTTTGGCCACATGTTTACAGACTGCTCCTTTAAAAACACTTTGTAAATATGCTCATGTTGAATATACAGACATTTGTGCGTCTCAATGATGTTGTATTATTTAGAAACATCAACAGTCTTTTCACATATTTTAAGTCAAACATTTGATTTTAGAACAATATAATGTGTTTATTCAAGGGATCTATCTGCAACCAGTTTTGCATCTTCATCCATCCCTCTGACCGGAGACAAGAAAGCAGATGCAGACATTATGGCCTTTGTAAAAGCCAGAGAGAAACTCCTGCAGAAAACCAGTAAGTTCCATATGTATCCAACAACCACCTGCAAGATAATGTATGACAACAGTGACATCTGGTGGTGAAGTATTGAATTACAGTTATGTGCATTGCTCTGAGATCTCTGTATATTAGGAAGTAAGTAAGTTTCTAGCTTCACTTCCAGCTTCACTGACGATATTATGACTGATTATAAAGGTTCAGGCTGTTTTCTCCGACCGCCACTTGATTATAGAGGGTTTTGTGTGTTTCATTTAATCATTTTCATTCTCAGGGCAACCACAATGAGAAAGATTTGTCATCGTAGTGTCGCAGGTAAGAATGATATGACATTGCACAAAGCAGCACCTCCGGTTTCCTTTGGTCATAAATCAATGCCTCATTTGGATGGTTTGATCTGAACAAATGTTTTCTTAAGATATCGGCGGAGACTGAGCGACCACGGCCTTGAACCGAAGGAAACTGCGGCTCCTGTGTTTGTTTAGAGATCTAAAAACATCCTTTAATCTCATTTTATACTGCTTTATTACACTGTGTCAATCATTGTAAATATATGTAGATAAAACGGCTGCTGCCCTGGATTTGTGGATGTTTTTGAAATTCTCTGATGTTTATTAGATGCATGGTCTAATCTGTCATCATTAAAGGGCCATAATCTGTCATCATTAAAGGGCCCTAATCTGTCATCATTAAAGGGCCATAATGTGTCATCATTAAAGGGCCATAATCTGTCATCATTAAAGGGCCATAATCTGTCATCATTAAAGGGCCCTAATTTGTCCTCATTATGTCATCATTAAAGGACCCTAATCTGTCCTCATTAAAGGGCCCTAATCTGTCATCATTAAAGGGCCATAATATGTCATAATTAAAGGGCCCTAATCTGTCCTCATTAAAGGGCCTTAATCTTTCCTCATTAAAGGGCCCTAATCTGTCGTCATTAAAGGGCCCTGATCTGTCATCATTAAAGGGCCTTAATCTGTCATCATTAAAGGGCCCTTTAATGATAATCCATCCACCATTTCTGTAGATGGCTCAGAACCTAAACGCTGCTGCTGTTTTGCATGACTTTGGGTCGATTTGTTTGAAGCAAAAGCATCTCCACAATTTGCATCTGACAAAGAAACCTTGGAGTATGAACTTCTTTAACTTCCTTAATATTACACACACGTTTCATATTCACTCACAAACTCAGATTATGAAGGGCACAGGTGGAAACAGGACAAATGGGATTAAGATTAAAATCATATTATTGTCATGTATTTATTATTACATCATCAACATCAAACCAAGTGAATAATCAGTCTACAATAACAGCTGTGTTGTTTTCACTAAAGTTACATTTGTAAAAAGACATTTATTATTATTATTATTATTATAGTTTATTATCTATAAAACAGGACAATGTACAAAAACCATGGTTTGGGCCCGATTTAGCTGCAGATTCTTTCCCTCTGTAATCCCTGGAAACACACATAGATACACACACAGATACTGTACACACTGACTCACAGATACACACTGATACACAGATGCACACTGATACACACAGACGTACACATATACACACATAGACACACACAGATACACACAGACGTACACATATACACACATAGACACACACAGATACACACATAGACACACAGATACACACATAGACACACACAGACACACACATAGACACACACAGATACACACTCAGACACACACTGATACACACAGATACACACTCAGACACACACTGATACACACACAGATGCACACAGATACACACACAGATACACACTGATACACACACAGATGCACACTGATACACACACAGATACACACTGATACTGATACACACTCAGATACACACTGATACACACACAGATACACACTCAGACACACTGATACACACACAGATGCACACTGATACACATAGATACACACTCAGACACACACAGACACACACAGATACACACTCAGACACACACTGATACACACACAGATACACACTCAGACACACTGATACACACACAGATGCACACTGATACACATAGATACACACTCAGACACACACAGATACACACAGACACACACAGATACACACTCAGACACACACTGATACACACTCAGACACACACAGATACACACTCAGACACACACTGATACACACATTGATACACACTGATACACACAGATACACACTCAGACACACACTCATACACACACTGATACACACATTGATACACACTGATACACACAGATACACACTCAGACACACACTCATACACACACTGATACACACACAGATACACACTCAGACACACGGATACACACTCAGACACACATAGATACACACTCAGACACACACTGATACACACACAGATACACACTCAGACACACACAGATACACACTCAGACACACACTGATAAACACACAGATGCTCACTGATACACACACAGATATACACTGATACACAGATGCACACTGATACACACACTGATACACACTGATACACAGATACACACTCAGACACACACTGATACACACACTGATACACACTCAGACACACATTGATACACACACAGATACACACTGATACACACAGACACACACAGATACACACAGATACACACACTGATACACACTCAGACACACGGATACACACTCAGACACACATACACACTCAGACACACACTGATACACACACAGACACACACAGATACACACAGATACACACAGATACACACACAGATACACACTGATACACACTCAGACACACGGATACACACTCAGACACACACTGATACACACACTGATACACACTCAGACACACATTGATACACACACAGATACACACTGATACACACAGATACACACTGATACACATAGATACACACTCAGACACACATTGATACACATAGATACACACATGAACACACATAGATACACACAGATACACATATATACAGACACACACAGATACACATAGACACACACAGATACACACAGATACACAGACACACACAGACGTACACAGATACACACATAGACACACACAGATACACATATATACAGACACACACAGATACACATAGACACACACAGATACACATAGACACACACAGATACACACAGACACACACAGATACACAGACACACACAGATACACATAGACACACACAGATACACATAGACACACACAGATACACATAGACACACACAGATACACACAGATACACACAGACACACACAAATACACATAGACACACACAGATACACATAGACACACACAGATACACACAGACACACACAGATACACAGACACACACAGATACACATAGACACACACAGATACACATAGACACACACAGATACACATAGACACACACAGATACACGTAGACACACACAGATACACACAGATACACAGACACACACAGACGTACACAGATACACACATAGACACACACAGATACACATATATACAGACACACACAGATACACATAGACACACACAGATACACATAGACACACACAGATACACATAGACACACACAGATACACAGACACACACAGATACACATAGACACACACAGATACACATAGACACACACAGATACACATAGACACACACAGATACACACAGACACACACAGATACACATAGACACACACAGACACACACAGTGAATGACTTTGGCCAAAATAAACAAAAACAATTTCTAATGTTATTGATGATCTTTGATGTTGATCTAAAATGTCTCCGTCCTGAACAAAAGTGTGCGTTCTTTGCTGCTTTGTGAAAGTATCTCGAGCACATGACGCACATTTCTCAACTAGAGAAGATCGATTTTTTCTTTTTCTTTAATGGCAAGTTTTTATTTGCTTTAATGTAGTTCGTCATGTGAGATTATTTTGACTAGTTTTAAGATAATAATGCTTCATAATCTTGTTTTAAGTATTTTTTCTTATTTCCAGACAACGTTTCTTGTAAAATAAGTTTGTTATCCTATATTTTAAGAAAACGTTCTCAAAAATGCTTAATAAATAAATACGTAAATTGAAAATGTGTTTTTTTAACTAGAATCAAGTCGTTTGGGGCTAGTGTTATTTTCTTATTTTCAGACATTTTCCTAACCCATATTTTCTTGTTCTTTGCAGATACTTTACCTTTTTTTAAGCAGTATTTTACTTATTTTCATATTTTTTTAATCAAGGGATTCTTTCCAGTGTATGATATATTTGTGCACTTTCTAAACGTGTCAAACATTAACCTGTGTTCTGCTGACGAGAAACTACCCGTGCTTCCTTATTAGTGGAAACAGGTTGGAAAGTGTGTCCAGATGTCTCACTAATGGACGGGGACCTGTTTCACCGTTACCATGGCAACCCATAAATCATTGCCCGGCGTCCACGGCCTTTTCCACCAATCAGAGCATTCTCCGAGGTTTCAGACTCTGCATCTTTCGACAGATCCCCATTTTTAAGTCATCACCTCAAGTTGCTCGAGATTCTCTGTCTTCTTTAAGTCCAGGACGTCACTTTGTAAATCTTTTTCTCTTTGTACGGTCGTATTTTTCCACAATTTCATGCTTTCCTTCGTTCGTGGTTTCTTCTCGAGGGGATTTCGGGCACCGGTGTCAGTACCTGGAGGTCCATGGCTTTGATGGCCCAGCTCAAAGTCAGTTGGACTGCACTCCTGGCCCTGGTCTACTTCACGTACTTGCTCGTGGGGGCGGCCATTTTCCAAATCCTGGAGAGAGAAGCCGAGAGCAACAACCGTAATCACTTTCAGCTGGAGAAACTGCACTTTTTAGCAAATTTCACCTGTCTCGATGGACCGGCGTTGGAAAAGTTTGTCCAGGTAATTGTGGAATTATTTTTGAACTGCGGCAAAACTCATGAATTAGTTATAATCGCAGGGTACAGATGTGGAATCGGTTGTTGATGAAGTAGAAATAGGCAAGTAAAGTCAAAGTACTGAACAAAACACAATAGAAACCGTCACTCAAGGCGTTAAAATCATGAATAGAATGAGAGATTTTGTGGTATGTGTGTTTATTTTATTTATATTTTTTAAACAATGTCGTTAAAGTGTATAAACAGTGGACTCAGGTTACAATTTACAGCAAAAACAGTGCAACAGTATTGTTCAAAAAGAAGTGGGAAGAAGTTTTTAAATCCCAGCCCTTTCCATTTTAACATAATGTCGGGATTACTGCTAAACACACACAAAAACACAACATATCGATAATGAAAAATACATTTGGAATTTAGCTATAATTTAAATACACTTTTCACAAATGTTGTTCCATCTTTCCCTGTTTGTTCAAATATGACACATTTTGAGGTTTTTATACAGCACATTTTTTCTAAAAGACGTTTCCAACACACAAAAAAACCTTTAAAAATTGCATTAGAGAAAACCAAAACAAAAAAATAGAGAAAAACACATGTAGAATTTTTCCCTCATTTAAATATACTTTTTATACAAGTAAGTTTTGTGTTAATATTTTAACTGTTTTATTCTTTAACGGCCTTCTCTTTTCTAATCCACTCTGTTTATGTAGAGATAAAAGCAACCACAGAATATAAAAGTCTGCCCGATTTAAATGAACACAATTAACAAAACATTAAAACAAATCTTATTGTTATTGTTCATAAACTTTATTATTATTATGTTCAAGATATAGAGATAGAGATGTTGTTTTATTTTGTATTAATCCAAGCTATTGTTCACTTAACTTGTGCAGTGTGCTCCTCTTTCCCACTGTTCTATACTTGTGTGATGCAACACTGAAATTTCCCCACTGTGGGACAAAAAAAAGGATCTCTTAATCTTAATCTTAATCTTAATCTTTAGGTGATCTTGGACGCCTGGGAGAAGGGAGTGAATCCATCCGGGAACTCCACCAATCCGAGTAACTGGGATTACAGCAGCTCCTTCTTCTTTGCGGGGACAGTGGTCACTACTATCGGTGAGTGATGCTAGTCGGTCCTCAGCCAGGCATGTCCAAACTCAGGCCCACGAGCCAATTGCGGCCCTCTGTTCCATTTTATGCGGCCCTCTGACAGTGTCACCCAACCAACTTCAGCTCCACCAACACAGTCATGCTTTACCTTGTTGTAAACCTCAGACTGTTTGGAATCCAGTTGATGTCTCTATTGTTATTTACTGACATTTGTTTATGATTGTGTCTCAACATCTGTGGATCGTGGACGTATCAAAACCCATTTTAAAATCAAGAATCCAGTCGATCCATCTTAAAGGCACACCGTGTAACTCTTGGCCACTAGGGGCGCTAGACCTGCAACTTTCACGTTTAGCGCCCCTAGTGGCCACAAGCAACTCAGCACTGTCGCAAAAGTCAACAAACAGTCAGCCGGTGTCTTTTGAGTGTGTATTCAGACAGCATGCACTGGTGTGTGTGTTCAAACTGTAGAGACATGCCTACAGATATTGAGAGACTCTGCTGTGGTCAGCCTCCAGACCGCTGCATTAGTAATCTACCACACATGGACTTCTATATCCTGGATGAGGGAGTTCTGCGTCTAGCTCGTGCTGCGTGGAATGACATCTTTGCAGTCGATGACATCCAGGAACCAGGTGAAGAGCAGCGCTCATACAGACATGCAGCTTACAGCACGATCCCTTTCGCGTTTCCTCTTTTTAGCCTCCTCCGAAGGTTTAAATTTTTTCCTTGCCTCAGCCATGACCAGGAGTCGAGCAGGTGAAAAATGAGTAGCAAAAGCCTTAGCTCCATGAGTATATCAGCGCCTGTAGCCGTAAAGCATATCTTTCTTCCAAGTCACGTGACCTGGTGGCAGACGGTCCGTCTGCTCGAAACTTACATGGGCGGTATTTCAAGAGGGCAGCCCCGCTCGGAGCATTGCAAGTGTCAAGCGCTGTATATTGGCCCAAGTATTCATATAAAATAACTCATATGTGTCAACTCTTTAGGTCACAAAGTCCGCGGTGTGCCTTTAAATCCAGGTTTTAAATCCAGGTTTTGGGCCCCAGGTCAAGTCTGATGAACTAAAGTGGCTCATACAACTCAATCAATGTTATTTATAGAGCCCTTTACAACACTCAAGGCGACCAAAGTGCTTCATAATAAAATCACATAATATCCAATTCAAACATTTATGCATTAAAACAATAAAACAGTTAAAAAATTAAAAAAGTTTGGACACTCACTAAAAAGTTTGGACACCCCTGCTCTAAGCCTACTAAAAATCCACACATGATTTTCAAATGCATCAATGAGAAATGGCGAGATCTGAACCCATTACCCCCTGTGTGTGTTCCTTATACCAGGTTTTGGGAACTTGTCCCCGAGTACGGTTTGTGGTCAGGTCTTCTGTGTGTTCTATGCCCTTTTTGGGATCCCCCTGAACCTGGCCTTCCTCAAACAACTGGGCAAGTGCCTCATCGTCCATTTGGGTCGGATGGAGAAGGGCATGGTGTCGGTCGTGCCTCATAAGGTCTGGCGTTTCATTGTCACGTTTGTAGATGTTTGTGTGACTCTGGCTTCTGTGCGGTTCCTTCAGCGGACGGTGGAGGTTCTGACTGTGGTCTTGTTCCTGCTCTCGGGCACTCTGCTGTTTTTGATCATTCCTCCGCTGTTGTTCAGTTATGTGGAGGGCTGGACGTTTGGAGAGGGGTTCTACTTTGCCTTCATCACCCTCAGCACCATCGGGTTCGGGGATTATGTTGTGGGTGAGAAGAATTATATTTATAAATGTGTCAAAACCAATGGTTAAATGACAAACATACATAGTACATTCAGAAACACATAGAATACAGACAAACCTGGATGTGAACATTGTCAGAGAAGAAGCCTGTCTCACATTTTCAGGGAGACAATTCCAGATTTTAGCTGCAGAAATTTGATGTGCAGCCTCCCCATGTTTAGTTCTCATTCTGGACACCAGCAGGAGGCCAGTCCCTGTGCTCCTCAAAGTCCCAGCAGGAAGCCAGTCCCTGTGCTCCTCAAAGTCCCAGCAGGAGGCCAGTCCCTGTGCTCCTCAGAGTCCCAGCAGGAGGTCAGTCCCTGTGCTCCTCAGAGTCCCAGCAGGAGGCCAGTCCCTGTGCTCCTCAGAGTCCCAGCAGGAGGCCAGTCCCTGTGCTCCTCAGAGTCCCAGCAGGAGGCCAGTCCCTGTGCTCCTCAAAGTCCCAGCAGGAGGCCAGCCCCTGTGCTCCTCAGAGACCCAGCAGGAGACCAGTCCCTGTGCTCCTCAGAGTCCCAGCAGGAGGCAAGTCCCTGTGCTTCTCAGAGTCCCAGCAGGAGACCAGTCCCTGTGCTCCTCAGAGTCCCAGCAGGAGACCAGTCCCTGTGCTCCTCAGAGACCCAGCAGGAGACCAGTCCCTGTGCTCCTCAGAGTCCCAGCAGGAGGCAAGTCCCTGTGCTCCTCAGAGTCCCAGCAGGAGACCAGTCCCTGTGCTCCTCAGAGACCCAGCAGGAGACCAGTCCCTGTGCTCCTCAGAGTCCCAGCAGGAGTCCAGTCCCTGTGCTCCTCAGAGTCCCAGCAGGAGACCAGTCCCTGTGCTCCTCAGAGTCCCAGCAGGAGACCAGTCCCTGTGCTCCTCAGAGTCCCAGCAGGAGACCAGTCCCTGTGGTTCATATGGCACTAACATGTCTCTACAGCTCAATTTGATCTGTTTTCCTTTGTTTTAGGCACAGACCCGGATATCGAGTACATCTCTCTGTACCGGAGCCTGGCTGGAGTGTGGATCATTCTGGCCCTGGCGTGGCTGGCGCTAGTTTTCAACCTGGGAGCCAAAATAATGGAATATTTTGTAGTTTTCACACATCCGGGTTTCAAAAGACAACAGGAAGAAGAAGAAGTGTCATCGACTAAACTAGAAGATATTTCCAAGATCTAAAGGACAGAACATGACCGAATACTGTTCTGGTTTCACTGCAGTTTGTTGCATATGGTTTTTCATGAAATGTTTTGTAATATTTGTTTATTTTCCTGCAGAAGATCTTGCAAACTTTACATCAATAGTTAGCTTTCAGCCTTCACTTTACATTAATAACATAATATTTATAGATGTTGTTTTGTGATTCAGGTTTTCGCTAAGAAGAAAATATGTCCAATATTCTACCTCCGTTCCTCTGATTTTCAAGCCTGGCCTTCGCAAACTCCGGTCATTTATCATTCCCTGCATTTATGTAATTTGTAAGATGGTGCGGTTCGACCAAACTAATGATTTTCTAATTTACTACAACATTTTCTCTCGTTTTGAGTTGTGTTTTACCTTCTGTTGTTCAGTCATCCCTTGTTTATGATGCTGGAGCTTTCTCGGCGTGAGCTAATGTCATCTCCAGTGAATTGTGCAAAGGAGATAACTTAAACAAACCCATTAATCAAGATGGTCAGTCGAGGAGAAAGGCCGGACACACAGGACCAGCTGGAGTGGGTGATGTCACATGGTATACCTTAACTCATGACTTTGGCTGAACAAACTCCCTCTGTTTAGCTTTGTGATGTCGGAAATGTAGTAGAATTGTCTCAGTGGTGCATTATGTGGACAACATTGATTAGAAATAGTATAATGCGGTACCAATTTTTCATTATTGAGCCATGTCTGTGCTGTTTTTATCCTCCTGTTTCTCCGATGTTCAGACAAAGCCATCAATAAAATCGTGCAAGCGTGAATTACGTCATGATAATTCAGAACTCAGCATATTCAAATGTATAGATCCATCATTTCTGTCTTTTAAAGCTCAGTTATTGTGCCGGACCTATGGCCCCACCTCTGCATTGGCTCTTTGTGGATTTGCATGAAGGGACAAAGGGATTCAGGCAGAAGCTCGTTTGCTTACGTCCCTTAGAAAGACTCCACATCTCAGAAGTCTCGGAGGGATTTCCCAAAATTCTCCTTAAATGTTCACAGTTTTTTCGGGACAGAAATGGGATTTAAGGAGATTTTTAACCTGGCCCGGATGCCCTCCATTCTATTGCTGGGAGCGGTCTATGTGGCCTACGTTCTGATTGGTGGAGTGATTTTCTGGAAACTAGAAGGGGAACTCGGAAGAAGAGACATTCGACATATAATTGAACGAGAACAACGTCTGCTTCAGAAGTTCCATTGTCTGAATCAAGAAAGTCTGCAGGAAGTCGCTGAGGTGAGAAGCATAATCCGTCATGAAACCTTTTCTCTTGTATTTAACTTCAAAGTTTATGTTTTGTTATGATAATGCAAATATGTAGAAGAGGTACTGACCGCAGTATTGACCACCACAACTACACTTAACTGGGATTCACGGACTGACTGACCAGAACATTTGGTTTGAAATCATAAAGCCACAGCGTTCATACAAATGTCTTTCTACTTAGTTTGTCTTAACCTGGTCCTGACGTTAATCTGGATCAAAACCCATTTTCTAATTCAAATTTTTTTAAGTTGAGCCTTTTCTGTATCACACACTGAGAAAAGAGACATCAAATCTCTGCTTCCATCAGCACTGATTTTTTGGCCATTAATTCCAGGGACGTACTGAAATCACACTATTTACCAAAGTAGACAGTTTTTAAACCTTTCTGCACCAGTGAGAAAAAGAAAAGTCCATATTTTGAGCTTAAACGAGATCAATAAGTTCAACATGTCTCCCACATTTGCATTGTTTAGTCAGAGCAGTCAAAACACCTTCAGAAACACACCCGTACAACTCTACACCTTTAAAGACACACATGAGTCTTTTTCGTACAAAGTCGTGTTAAGCAAAAATAATTTTGTTTTTGTATTTTCAGGTCGTCCAAGAAGCGTCAAAAGCAGGTCTCAGTCTGAAAGGAAACCGCTCCACGGACGGTTTCTGGAAGTTCACCACATCTGCTGTGTTCGCGGCGACTGTCGTGACCACGATCGGTGAGTTTTTATCCACCCAGTCACAGAGCACCAGCCCCTCACTGATCCTCTGCAGCTGCTGAGTCCACAGCTGAGGTCTTTCAGCGGGGGCTTCAGGCAAAGTGGGGTTAAGTGTCTTGCCCAAGGACACAACGACTGCAGTCGTCAGTGGGAGTCGGTGGAGAAGGTCTCATGGTGGGCTGGAACCCACAACCTTCAGGCTCAAAGACCAATGCTCTACCACTGAGCCACTGTTTCCCATTCTCATTCTCCACATTCTCTCTCCATTCTCTCCTCTTTCTCTGTCCATTCTCTCTCCTCTTTTTCTCTCCATTCTCTCTCCATTCTCTATTCTTTCTCTGTCCTTTCTCTGTCCTTTCTCTGTCCATTCTCTATCCATTCTCTGTCCATTCTCTCCTCTTTCTCTGTCCATTCTCTGTCCATTCTCTGTCCATTCTCTCCTCTTTCTCTGTCCATTCTCTGTCCATTCTCTCCTCTTTCTCTGTCCATTCTCTCCTCTTTCTCTGTCCATTCTCTCCTCTTTCTCTGTCCATTCTCTCCTCTTTCTCTGTCCATTCTCTGTCCATTCTCTCCTCTTTCTCTGTCCATTCTCTGTCCATTCTCTCCTCTTTCTCTGTCCATTCTCTGTCCATTCTCTCCTCTTTCTCTGTCCATTCTCTCTCCATTCTCTCCTCTTTCTCTGTCCATTCTCTCCTCTTTCTCTGTCCATTCTCTCCTCTTTCTCTGTCCATTCTCTCCTCTTTCTCTGTCCATTCTCTGTCCATTCTCTGTCCATTCTCTCCTCTTTCTCTGTCCATTCTCTGTCCATTCTCTCCTCTTTCTCTGTCCATTCTCTGTCCATTCTCTCCTCTTTCTCTGTCCATTCTCTCTCCATTCTCTCCTCTTTCTCTGTCCATTCTCTGTCCATTCTCTCCTCTTTCTCTGTCCATTCTCTGTCCATTCTCTCCTCTTTCTCTGTCCATTCTCTCTCCATTCTCTCCTCTTTCTCTGTCCATTCTCTCTCCATTCTCTCCTCTTTCTCTGTCCATTCTCTCTCCTCTTTTTCTCTCCATTCTCTCTCCATTCTCTATTCTTTCTCTGTCCTTTCTCTGTCCTTTCTCTGTCCATTCTCTATCCATTCTCTGTCCATTCTCTCCTCTTTCTCTGTCCATTCTCTGTCCATTCTCTGTCCATTCTCTCCTCTTTCTCTGTCCATTCTCTGTCCATTCTCTCCTCTTTCTCTGTCCATTCTCTCCTCTTTCTCTGTCCATTCTCTCCTCTTTCTCTGTCCATTCTCTGTCCATTCTCTCCTCTTTCTCTGTCCATTCTCTGTCCATTCTCTCCTCTTTCTCTGTCCATTCTCTGTCCATTCTCTCCTCTTTCTCTGTCCATTCTCTCTCTCTCTTCCATTCTCTCCTCTTTCTCTGTCCATTCTCTCCTCTTTCTCTGTCCATTCTCTTCCTTTCTCCTCTTTCTCTGTCCATTCTCTCCTCTTTCTCTGTCCATTCTCTGTCCATTCTCTGTCCATTCTCTCCTCTTTCTCTGTCCATTCTCTGTCCATTCTCTCCTCTTTCTCTGTCCATTCTCTCTCTTCCATTCTCTCCTCTTTCTCTGTCCATTCTCTCTCTCTCTCATTCTCTCCTCTTTCTCTGTCCATTCTCTCCTCTTTCTCTGTCCATTCTCTCTGTCCATTCTCTGTCCATTCTCTCCTCTTTCTCTGTCCATTCTCTGTCCATTCTCTCCTCTTTCTCTGTCCATTCTCTCTCCATTCTCTCCTCTTTCTCTGTCCATTCTCTCCTCTTTCTCTGTCCATTCTCTGTCCATTCTCTGTCCATTCTCTCCTCTTTCTCTGTCCATTCTCTGTCCATTCTCTCCTCTTTCTCTGTCCATTCTCTCTCCATTCTCTCCTCTTTCTCTGTCCATTCTCTGTCCATTCTCTCCGCAGACAAAGTCCATTTGCTCGTTGCTCTTCCTGTTGTTTTACGCTGTATTCATGAGTTTCTACAAAGACATATTTTCATGATATTTGCCTGTTTTGCAGGATATGGAAACATTAGCCCCCGCTCCACAAGCGGACAGATCTTCTGTGTGTTTTTCGCTCTCTTTGGAATCCCTCTCAACATCGTAGTTCTGAACCGAGTTGGAAAGTACATGCTCGCAATAGAGAGGAACATCTCGGACTTTCTCGAAGGCAAAATCAACAAAAAAGGGAGAAAGGTGATAATATTTGTAAGACTTTATACATTATTATTTCTATATTGATTGTTGTTTCTTTAGATTTGCATGCGCTTCTCCGTCCACTTTGTTTCATACGTTAGTGGAGCAGTCCTTTTCTTTGTGGTGCCGATGTTGGTTTTCCAAAATCAAGAAGGATGGACGTTCTCAGAGGCCATTTACTACTGCTTCATCTCCCTCAGCACCATCGGCTTCGGGGACTTTGTGGCAGGTACCATGTGGAACACAGATGATACTAAATAAACATGTTAGTTACTGGATAAGACAAGATAAGAAAGGATTTGTAATTATGTACAATGAAAGAGTGACAATAGCAGTGGACCCTAACCCATGTCAGAGATGGAGATATTTCTACTGTTTTGATCAGTCTGGGCGGGTCCTGGCTCAAAAATATCCAAAATGACGTGCCCTGACAAGCTGCAATACCACCCCGAGCCTGTGGGGGTGGACTAGGAATAAGAATTAGCCAAAAACAAGGCAACCAACATCACCACCAACCATTCACACACACACCAGACTGATTCTGATGTGGGGGAAGTGTCTTGCCTAAGGACACAGCCACAGTTTGGCACTTTACAGCCGCCCCACTGTGGCACCTGCTGTTCCCAGAGGTCTCCCATCACAGATCGTCTAAAAGTAAACATAATTAGATAAAATCGGTGAAATAACAGTAATATCAGTAGCAGCACTAATAATAAATACTAATCATAGCCAAACTCAAAACTGTCTTTCTTGAGCCCTGACCGAGGCCTCACTGAAGTTATTTTAATTGATTATTGTTTTTAATTGTTTTATTTTTTTTTATTAATTAATTGTTTATTTGGTTGGGGCAGTACATGTTAATGAACACATCACTCCAGATTGTCCCACAGTTGCACTCTCAAACACACACTCACTCATTCACCCAGAACATGTTTTTAGTGGTAGGGGAAACCAGAGCACCCGGAGGAAACCTACACAGACACAGGAAGAACATGCAAACTACACTGAGAAAGGCCCTGTTCCGACTGGGATTCGAACCTTCTTGGTGAGAAGCGAGAGTGCTAACCACTCAGCCACCGGGCCGCCCTTTTTTCTCTTACCAAATACAATCCAAGTTTGATAATTTCACGTTTTTGTTTCTATTCCGTGAATTCAGTTTGTTTTTTAAATTGGACTGTTTTAGATGCACTCGAGCAGACATGTCCAAACTCAGGCCCGGGGGCCAACTGCGGCCCTCCGTGTCAGTGTATGTGGCCCTCTGTCTTGCTAACCCAAAGTACTCTCTGAGATCATAAACACAAGTTCACTGTGTCATCCATCCAACTTCAGCTCAGCCAATAAAGACCTTGTCCTAAAGCCTAGTACATTTATGTTGCTAATGTAGCTGGTGAGATGGTAAGCATGTGTCATCCATCCAACTTCAGCTCAGCCATTATAGACCTTGTCCTAAAGCCCTTTATGTCAGTGACTGTCTTCGCACAAACTGTACTCACATGGTTTTTTATGGTGTCACTTCTGTTAATGGTGCCAATGAAGCTGGTGAGATGGTAAACATGTGTCATTCAGCCAACTTCAGCTCAGTTATAGATCATCATAAAGCTCAGAACAGCCAGTCAAGACAGTTTTTCAGTCCGTGATCTCAGACCCTGAACTAGTCTGCTGAAACTAACCCTTACTAAAAAGTTTGGACACCCCTGGCACAGATAGAGATAAAAGCATTTTGTAAAGTGCTTTGACAGGTAGAAAAGTAGAAAAGCCTAAATGTTACTTCCTTGAGTCTGTAACTAAGAAGTGTAAGTGATTATATTTGTACTACTTTGTAAATTGGCCAACACTTTTTGAACAACATTAAAATCTAAGTTTTTAGTCTTTTTTGTCCTTAAATGTGTGACTTTGTGATGTTTAGACAACAACCCGGAGCGGTACTACCCAGACTGGTACAGCATCCTCACAGCCTGCTGGATCTTCTTCGGCCTCGCCTGGCTGGCTCTGGTCATCAACCACTCCATCGAAAGTCTGGAGCGAATCAACAACCACCTGAAGGGACTGTGGGCCAGCAAGAAGATGGAGGAAGAGTCAGCTCAGGGCGAGGAAGACCACCCCGAGACCCAGACGGAGGAAGAGGACGAAAAGTAATCCACATGTAATTTATCTGTATATCTGTCGCTGTGTAACCTGTAAATACTAATGATAGTCAGCAAAGTACACATTAATACTGTGAGAGACCTGTTTTTGTGAAACAGTTAGAAATGTAAGTTATTCTTTCTGAAATGCTAAGTGCAATTTGCATAACACATATAACTTATACAACAGGGGCCTCCAACCTGCAGCTCGCCAAAGGATTCATAATTTAACACATGCTCTTGAATGAATCCATTTTGAGTCATTATCTATAATAAGTATAATTATAAATATAGGGTTGTACAGTTTCATGGTATGTGTTCTCCATGTTTTGCCATAATTATTACATAGAATTTTATTAGGAGTAGTTTTCTGCCTCTTATTTTGTGTAAAAGTAGCTCTGACTGAAAAAGGTTGGAGACCCCTGTTATACAATGTTAAAGGATATAGGAGGATTATCTACATCCAGGTGTCATTTTCTGCCCCAGGGGGTGGCAATCAGAGCTGCCCAAGTCTCATAGCACCAGCCCCTCTGGTCCTCTGCAGGGGGTGGGTCCACAGGAAGTTGACATGGCCTTGGTCTTTCAGTGGGGGCTTCAGGCAAAGTGGGGTTAAGTGTCTTGCTCAGGGACACAACAACAGCAGTCATCAGTGAGAGCAGGTGTCAGTGTGGTGAATTCGAACCCACAACCATTAGGTCCAAAGACCACTGCTCAACCAACTGAGCTACTGTCGCCCCACTCCCGGGTGGATCATCAAGACTATTGGTCCTACCACTTGTCAATCATTCACCAGAGTTTTGTTCAAAAAGTGGAGAGGGCGGTTTTCTCCTAACATTGTGAAAATCCTCCTATAAACCTTTAAGTTTGAATGTATTCTTGTCGTTATGGACATAATAAATAATAATACACACCATACCTGTGTTTGAAGCCCGTCCAGACTAAGCCACAGCTGCTCTTAAAGGTGCAGGCGACACAGAAGGATAATTACAGGTTTTTGACGCTGAAGTAAATGTTTTTGCATATTATGTTTAAAAAATATATTCAATCATGAGAAAGGGTTCAAGGGTACGTCTTCATCTTACCCCAGCATGGACACTTTTCAATATGTAAACATGTGGCCAAAAGTGGTACTGCAGCCTCTCCCACTCTCCCTGACTCAGGTTGCCAGATATGCAGACGAATCCAGCTGGGACCATAACAGCTGAATAGACAAGAGTTTTGTCAACAACAAATCTATAACCAACACCTTTTTCACAAAGATAGAAATCCTGGTTTTATTCCTTGTTTTGTCGTTAATGATTTGAGAATCATAACGAGACCTTTTTTAGTTCTGCGCCACATGGTACTTTACCAGTGAGATTAGCTCCACGCGGTGAGTTCTGGCGCCAGGATCACAGACTTTCTGATTGGTGAAACGGTGGAGGGCGGGACATCGAAATGAAAACAATAACAAGATTTAGGGGCTGGAAAAGTAATTTAGAAATTCAAATATCTCTGAACTACTGTTATCAGTTAAAGAAGGATTGGAAAAGAACAGTTTATTATTATGACAGATTAGGGCCCTTTAATGATGACAGATTAGGGCCCTTTAATGATGACAGATTAGGGCCCTTTAATGATGACAGATTAAGGCCCTTTAATGATGACAGATTAGGGCCCTTTAATGATGACAGATTAGGGCCCTTTAATGATGACAGATTAGGGCCCTTTAATGATGACAGATTAGGGCCCTTTAGTGATGACAGATTAGGGCCCTTTAATGATGACAGATTAGGGCCCTTTAGTGATGACAGATTAGGGCCCTTTAATGATGACAGATTAAGGCCCTTTAATGATGACAGATTAGGGCCCTTTAATGATGACAGATTAGGGCCCTTTAGTGATGACAGATTAGGGCCCTTTAATGATGACAGATTAGGGCCCTTTAATGATGACAGATTAGGGCCCTTTAATGATGACAGATTAGGGCCCTTTAATGATGACAGATTAGGGCCCTTTAGTGATGACAGATTAGGGCCCTTTAATGATGACAGATTAAGGCCCTTTAATGATGACAGATTAGGGCCCTTGAATGATGACAGATTAGGGCCCTTTAGTGATGACAGATTAGGGCCCTTTAATGATGACAGATTAGGGCCCTTTAATGATGACAGATTAGGGCCCTTTAATGATGACAGATTAGGGCCCTTTAATGATGACCTGACATGAAAATCTTACATATATCTACTTTAATATATTGTAATTTTAATTAAACAAATAAACCTTGTCTTTGAGGAGCACAATGAAACTCTTTAAAATCCACTGAGACACAAATATAAAATTGAAAACAAACCAAATGGATAAACATTCCCGTTTCCGCTGCAGAGGCGTTGTAATGCTGCAGACTGTCCACTAGATGGCACTGTTCCCACAAAGTCCTGAACATTCTGAGGCAGCTGACCATTGTGTACTTATAGCCTAACCGGTCATAACGTTTTTAAATGCAGGAAGTGGCATTAGTAACAAGTTAATCTGAAGTTAAATGAACCCGGTGCATTTGAAAATAAATGTTTTAAAACTAATTCCACAGAAGCTTCAACTCTCACTCACTCCAACAAGTGAACGACAAAAACAGATGTCCAGACTTCTGCTGGAAAAGGGAAAATTCTGGAAAAATAAACAGTGGAAGCAGTGAAATTCCAGAGCGGGTGATAATGAGTGGAATCTGAGCAGACTGTAGTGAGAGTGACAGAAGAAAACAGCACATATCTGTTTGACCACGCTTCAGTGACGCTGCAGTATGTGTGGGAACTGCCCTGTGTGTGGGACAGATCTGAGCCGGGCCAGGCCAACTCCACCAGCTCTGGACCAGTCCTGGACCAATCCTGGACCAATCCTGATCAAGCCAGGACAGACGGTGACACATGGGGTTCTGTTTTGCACATTCTGACATTATAAAAGTTAGTATTGCACATCCATTTTCTTCCGCTTCATCCGTTGCCGAGTCGTGGGGGCAGCAGTCTAAGCAGAGGCGCCCAGACTTCCCTCTCCCACACTTCCTCCAGCTCGTCCGACCCCGAGGCGTTCCCAGGCCAGCTGAGAGACATAGTCCCTCTGTGTCCTGGGTCTTCCCCGGGGCCTTCTCCCGGTGGGACGTGCCCGGAACACCTCCCCAGGGAGGCGTCCAGGAGGCGTCCGGAACAGATGCCCGAGCCACCTCAACTGGTTCCTCTCAACGTGGAGAAGCAGCGGCTCTACTCCGAGCTCCTCCCGTGTGACTGAGCTCCTCTATCTCTAAGGGAGCAGCGGCTCTACTCCGAGCTCCTCCCGTGTGACTGAGCTCCTCACCCTATCTCTAAGGGAGCAGCCACTCTGCGGAGGAAGCTCATTTCGACCGCTTGTATCCGCGATCTCGTTCTTTCGGTCATTACCCAAAGCTCATGACCACAGGTGAGGGAGGGAACGAAGACTGACCGGTAAATCGAGAGCTTTGCCTTTCGGCTCAGCTCCCTCTTTACCACAACGGTCCGATACAGCTCTGACTGCAGACGCTGCTCCCTCTTCACCACAACGGTCCGATACAGCTCTGACTGCAGACGCTGCTCCCTCTTTACCACAACGGTCCGATACAGCTCTGACTGCAGACGCTGCTCCCTCTTTACCACAACGGTCCGATACAGAGACCGCATCACTGCGCACACTGCACTGATACGCCTTCAATCTCACACTCCATCCTTCCCTCACTCGGGAACAAGACCCCGAGATACTTGAACTCCTCCACTTGAGGAAGGACCTCTCCACCCACCTGCAGAGGGCAAGGCACCTTTTTCCGGTCGAGCACCATGGCCTCGGATTTGGAGGTGCTGATTCTCATCCCAGCCGCTTCACACTCGGCTGCAAACCGCCCCAGTGCATGCTGCAGGTCCTGGTTCGTTGGAACCAACAGGACAACATCGTCCACAAACAGCAGAGATCAAATCCTGTGGTCCCCGAAGCGAACCCCCTCCAGCCCCTGGCTGCAGTCAGACCTGTTCCCGGTATTACACATACAAGTAAGTGAAATAAAGGGGTTCTGTATTGCACATTCAGTTAGTGACATGAGTGAGGTGTTTTTATGCTACTTCGAACGCATACAGAGTTTAAAGAGAAGGCAATTACACTTTTTCTGAATATAGGTCACATGCTCTGAGTCTGAGAGATTGAAGGAGGGGGGGGGGGGGGGGGGGGGGTCACCAAATGAGTTTGAACTTGTGAGTGAGATGTAGCACCTTCCCGTTCTCAGCCGGGTGTGACTGGGGCTGGTATTTAAGCTACTGTACATACATGCATTTGCATACAGCTACAAGTTTAGCTGTTATGTCACGCGTGTCCTCGGCCTGACACGGAACAACACATCCAGGACTTCTATGAAGGTTTCTTTAGTTTGTAACTGTGAGGAAAGTTTATTTATATAGCGCCTTTCACAGGCTAGGGGCCAGTACAGGAGGCACAGACCGATTGTACATGTTTTTAGTGGTAGGGGAAACCGGAGCACCAGGAGGAAACCTACGCAGACACGGGGATAACATGCAAACTCCACTCTTTGAACCAATTTGAAAAGTGCCTTTGCATCTCTGGCCTATGCTCTGTAACATGTGTGTGAGTCCAAAGGAATGCAGTTCAGACAGAAGTGTGCTGTGGTCATAAAGACGTATCATTTTGTGTTGCCATGTGACTGATACGGGGGAATTTTCCTGCATTTCTGATCATATTTTATTGGGTCAATTCTTATGTAATGCATTTTCTTTACTCTCTATTGATTTTTATGGTATGACTTATATTTACAGTACAGACCAAAAGTTTGGACACACCTTCTCATTCAAAGAGTTTTTTTATTTTCATGATTGTGAAAATGGTAGATTGACACTGAGGGCATCAAACCTATGAATGAACTCATGTGAATTATGTACGTGCTAAAAAAGAATGAACCAAGTGTAAATATGTGTTATATTCTGGTTCTTCAAAGTAGCTCCTTTTGCTCTGATACTGCTTCACTCTTGGCATTCTCTGGATGAGCTTCAACAGGACCTGAAATGGTCTTCAACAGTCTGGAAGGAGTTCCCATGATGCTTAGCACTTGTTGGCCCCTTCACTCTGTGGTCCAGCCCCAAAACCATCTGGACTGGGTTCAGGTCCAAAACCAACTGGACTGGGTTCAGGTCCAAAACCAACTGGACTGGGTTCAGGTCCAAAACCATCTGGACTGGGTTCAGGTCCGGTCTCTCTCCTTATTGGTCAAACAGCCCTTTCACAGCCTGGTGTGGGTCTACAGCCAATAGTCATGAAAAGAACTCAGTGAAGGAGAGAGGGTGTCCAAACTTCTGCTCTGTACAGTATATAATCTGTCATCATTAAAGGGCCCTAAATCTTGTTATTGTTTTCATTTCAATGTCCCGCCCTCCACCGTTTAACCAATCAGAAAGTGACTTGTGGGGACTTGCTCCACGATCACCCGGGTTTCTCCGAGTTTCTCCGGGTTTCTCAGGTGACCCATTTACCTGTGTTTGTCTCGGTAACTCCTCTTCATCATGAATCATTGATGGTGATGTTCTGAGCGGAGCCAGACGCAGATAAAGGGAAATAAAACACAGTAAACTCTAAGTCTGTGGATAAGAAGAAGATAACGCAAATATTTCAAGGACAAAGCTAGAGTTGAGATTATTTTTACAACTTGGGAGAATTCTTTGGGTTTCCTGCTTTGATCCAAAATGTTGAATTATTTACACGATTTAATAATAATATAATAAGAAGGTCCTGTAATATTCTGTATTTGTCCCACACTTTGGAAGTTTCAGATAAATACACAAACACACACAAGGTGCTTCTTCTACTGCAGGTCAAGTGGGTGAAGTGTCTTGCCCAAGGACACAACCACAGCATGTATCAGAGTCTAATAATAATAATAATAACAATACAAGGCTTTTTTTGTAGTTCTTTTATGTATTTTTTTGTAGTTCAATTTGTCTCCGCAGGAACATGTGGCTGTCAGAACCATTTTTATATCATTCGTCGACAACAACCAAGAGTTCATCCATGTTCTTCCTTTTAAACCAGACAAGTCCAAACTCAGGCCCGCGATCCAATTGCGGCCCTCTGTGACATTTTACGTGGCCCTCTGACAGCGTCATCCAGCCAACTTCAGCTCCACAAACACAGTCATGCTATACCTTGAAGTAAATCTCAGACTTTAATGTTTTTTGTTCATGATTGTGTCAGAACATTCCAAATAAAATGCAGCTGTGGATCCATCAGAACCCGGATCACAGAGCACCAGCCTCAACAAACAACTGTTAAAAATCCAAAATGTCACAGATTTACAAAGAGTCACTTCTCATCGGTAAAATAAGACAGACAAATTATAAATGTCTCCTTTAAACAACAGAAAGAGAAGATGAGTAAGGCATGATGTTTATTCTTGAAGCAACGGTGAAGGAGGTGAGCTTTGGTCCAGGTCTAAGCAGAGGTTGGTCCTGCACTGCAAAAAAATCCTTCGCAAAAATAAGAAAAACATGAAAATAAGTAAAATACTGCGTAAAAAAGAATCAAAAATGATCTGCAACAGAACAAGAAAATATGGCTTAAGAGTTCTGAAAATAATGAAATAACACGAGCCCCAAACGACTTGATTCTAGTTAAAATATTTACTCCTGTGGATTCAGCAGCTGCAGGAGGATCAGGGGCTGGTGCTGTGACTGCCACCTTGACTCAGAAATGGATTGAGGGGAAGAAAACGGACGGATGGACTTAGAACGAGAACTCACTGCTCAGACTTTTGAAGTATCTTTAAACTCGTAACATTTTTAGTGAATAAATCTGACCAAGACGTTACTTTGTTCAGTGTTTGCTTTAGATTTAGACTTTTGAATAAGTTACTTTAAAGTTACTTAAAGAAAATTAAAGTTCAATTATTGTATTTTTTGTGCCCTTTTTATGCCACAACCCACTTCAAAATATAAGTTTACATTTCCTTTGTCATTGGAAAAGAGAAGTCCATTCACTTCTTTGACCTGAGGTAAAACTTTGGACTGTTTCACGTCTGTATTGATCCTTCCTCGGCCACTGACGACACAGTTTCGTTGCCAGTCTTTGGGAGTAGTTTTAGCACGATGGCTCCACTGTTTGATCTCCCTGTCGGCGGTGTTTGCAGGCTGCGGGTCCCTCTCCTTCCTCCTCATTGGACCTGGACTTTGGGGTTTGAACCAATCGCAGGAAACAATACTGCTCCAGCCTCCAGGCCTCACCCCGACTTTATCCATTTATAAACAGGACTGCGGGCGCCAGATTGGGACTCATGAGGGTTTTAGGATCTGAGAAGACGGATCACGACACAGACATTTTATATTAGTCTGAAAACAATATGGGAGATGCCATAATAATAATAATAATGATAATAATGATAGAGCGTTCCACAGCTTTGGTCCAGCCTCAGAGACACAGAGAAATAAAATAACAAGTAAGTAATGTTTATTTATATAGCACATGTTACAGACCAAGGTACAGACCCAAAGCACTTTCCAATGTTCAGAGTCAGATATTGTTCCAATCCTTCCACACACGGTGATGACAGAAGCGAGTCCAGAACACACTGGTCCATCAAAGCCTCTGACCCAACACCATCCATTCACTCTCTCATTTACACTCAGACCTATTGTGCATGTTTTTAGTGGTAGGGGAAACCGGAGCACCTGGAGGAAACCTACGCAGACACAGGGAGAACATGCAAACTCCACTCAGAAAAGCCCTGTTCCGACCGGGATTCGAACCCAGGACCTCCTTGCTGAGAGGCGAGAGGGCTAACCACTCAGCCACCGTGCCGCCCAACAAAGTCTAATGACTCATTTAAGGAGACTCCGCCACAGCTGTTGCCATAGTAACTGTAACAGATCAAATAAGCTGTCAGTTGAGAGACAAGCCACTAATAACACCGGATAACATGGATTTCAAGGTAATTTTAATATTTTTGGACATAACGAAGCCTTTGAGGAATGAGAAGAAGAGAAGAACCAAGAATTTATACTTTATATTTATATGTTTTGTCTGTGCGTCAACAAAAGTAGATCCCATTTCTCTTAACAACGGTTGCTAAGGCAAAAGTGTTGTTTTCAGACTTCTTAAATAATCTCTACACTTTAAACATATTTGGCCAGTTCAGGAAAGTCAATAAACATTTGTTACACACTTAAATTCACCGGACCATGGTATAATCTCACATTTATTATCTCAAAGCTAGACGGGATTAAAGCCTACACAACCCTGTCCCACCTGGTGTTTTTGCATTCCATGAGGACTAAAACAGGACTAAAACAGGACTAAAACAGGACTAAAACAGGACTAAAACAGGACTTAAACAGGACTGAACCAGGACTGAACCAGGACTAAAACAGGACTAAAACAGGACTGAACCAGGACTAAAACAGGACTAAAACAGGACTAAAACAGGACTAAAACAGGACTAAAACAGGACTAAAACAGGACTAAAACAGGACTAAAACAGGACTAAAACAGGACTAAAACAGGACTTAAACAGGACTGAACCAGGACTGAACCAGGACTAAAACAGGACTAAAACAGGACTGAACCAGGACTAAAACAGGACTAAAACAGGACTGAACCAGGACTGAACCAGGACTAAAACAGGACTAAAACAGGACTGAACCAGGACTAAAACAGGACTAAAACAGGACTGAACCAGGACTGAACCAGGACTAAAACAGGACTAAAACAGGACTGAACCAGGACTAAAACAGGACTAAAACAGGACTAAAACAGGACTTAAACAGGACTTCTAAAACAGGACTAAAACAGGACTAAAACAGGACTAAAACAGGACTAAAACAGGACTAAAACAGGACTAAAACAGGACTGAACCAGGACTAAAACAGGACTGAACCAGGACTAAAACAGGACTAAAACAGGACTGAACCGAGGCTAAACTGGGACTGAACACCAAAACCCAAGTCTTAGTCACAAGTGAACTATGTGTAAACAATCTGGGACAGGGTTAAGAAAGTCCTCCGTGCGCTCCTCAAACTCTTCCTGAATCATTCAAGTCTAATATTATTTATTTATTTATTATTCTCTAAGTCTAATATTATTTATTTATTTATTATTCTCTAAGTCTAATATTATTTATTTATTTATTATTCTCTAAGTCTAATATTATTTTCTGATCTGATGATTTTGGGGTAAACTGTGAGGGCGTGGTTTTCCTTCTGCTCACGGCTGAGTCTGTGGCACTGGTCTGATGATAGCCACGGGTCAAAGGTCATACTAACATAATAATTATAAAGATGTATAAAAGTTTTACATTTGAGGCAAAATAAGAGGCAAGTATAAAGTACTGTGTTTTCTAGTGCAAGCAGTGTGTTAGCATCTGTACATTAGCAGCAGTATGTTAGCATCTCTACATTAGCATTAGCATTAGCATGAGGCTCTGGGACACTGTAGTGACTCATTGACAGTGACTTTGGAAAGTGTCTGGACCTGGACTGGGCTCCAGACTAAACAGAGCATGAGTCCGTAGGTGGTCCGTAGGTGGTCCGTAGGTGGTCCGTAGGGGGTCTGTAGGTAGGGGGTCCGTATGGGGTCCGTAGGGGGTCTGTAGGGGGGTCCCGTAGGGGTTCCGTAGGGGGTCTGTAGGGGGGTCCGTAGGTGGTCCGTAGGGGGTCTGTAGTGGGGTCCCGTAGGGGGTCCGTATGGGGGTCTGTTAGGGGGTCCGTAGGTGGTCCGTTAGGGGGTCTGTAGGGGGTCCGTAGGGGGTCCGTAGGGGGTCCGCAGGGGGTCCGTAGGGGGTCCGTAGGGGGTCCGCAGTGGGGTCCGTAGGTGGTCCGTAGGTGGTCCGTAGGGGGTCTGTAGGGGGTTCGCAGGGGGTCCGTAGGGGGTCTGTAGGGGGTCCGTAGGTGGTCCGTAGGGGGTCTGTAGGGGGTCCGTAGGGGGTCTGTAGGGGGTCCGTAGGGGGTCCGTAGGGGGTCCGCAGGGGGTCAGTGACACCGGCCCCGCCCTCAGCTCTGCACATGTGTGTTTTCAAATCAGAGAAACCAGGAACGACCGAGGACCAGGATGTTTACCAGCTGTGACTGAAGTGTATTTATCTCATGGACAAACAGACTGGGTCACTCTGAGCTCGGTCTAGGAGCCAGACCGACCTGATCCAGACCAACCTGTCTCTCTCTCTCTGTCTGTGTCTCTCGCTGCCTCTGTCTCTCTCTCTCGTCAAGTCTCCTCTCTCTCTCTGGTCTCTCTCTCTCTTCACGTCTCTGCCTCTCACTCTCTCTCTCTCTCAAGTCTCTGCTCTCTCCTCTCAGTGCTCTCTCTCTGATCGTCTCCTCTCTCCTCTACCACTGCTCTCTCTCCCTCTCTGTCTCTCTCTCCTGTCTCTCTCTCTCTCTCTCTCTCTCTTCTCTCTCTCTCTGTCTCTCTCTCTCTCTCTCTGTTCTCTCTCTCTCCTCTCTCTCTCGTCTCTCTGTCTCTCTCTCTCTCTCTCTCTCTCTCTCTCTCTCTCTCTCTCTCTGTCTCTCTCTCTCTCTGTCTCTCTCTCTCTCATCTCTGTCTCTCTGTCTCTCTCTCTCTCTCTCCTCTCTCTCTGTCCCTCTCTCTCTCGTCTCTCTCTCTCTCTCTCTCTTCTCCTCTCTCTCTCCTCTCTCTCTCTCTCTCTCTCCTCTCTCCTCTCTCTCTCTCTCTGCCTCTCCTCTCTCTCCTCTGCTCATCTCTGACTCTCTCTCTCTCTCTCTCTGTCTCCTTCTCTCCAACTCTCGTCCTCTCTCTACACCTCTGCTCTCTCTTCTCTCTTCTCTTCTCTCTCTCTCTCTCTCTCTACTCTATTCTCTCTGTCTCTCTTCCTCCTCTCTCTCTCTCTCTCTGTCTCTCTCATCTCTCTCCTCTCTGTCTCTCTCTTCCTCTCTCTCTCTCTCTCTCTCTCTCTCTGTCTCTCTGTCTCCTCTCTCTCTCTCTCTCTATTCTCTAAATCTCTCTGTCTCTCTCTCTCACTCCCGTCTCTCATGTCACTATAGCTCTCATCTCTGGCATATCTCTCTACTGTATCTCTATATATATAGATGGTATAGGTAGATTATATATCTGTATAGGGTAGATATAAGATAATAGAGGTAGATAGCATAGAGAGGTAGAGATATATGATATATAGAGATAGGCTAGATAGATAAGTAGATAGATAGGGAGAGATAGATAAGATATATATATATATGTATATATACATATAGATAGTAGATATATATGTCTCATATGGCGCTATAGTAGCAGACGAGATAGATAGATATATGTATGATATATAGAGTACTAGAGAGAGATATAGGGAGATATAGAGATAGATATGGTAGAGATAGGTAAAAGATAGAGAGGTAATATATATAGATATATGTCATATCTAAGATATATAGAGGGAGAGAGAGATAGATGTAGAAGAGTATAGATGTATAGACTAGATATAATAATCGGATCAGATGGGAATTCATAGAAAGGCATTAAATAACAAAACATTTTGAGTTCCGATCAAGGGAGCTGGGATGCACGCGTCATAAACCATGGCTCGGAGCTTCTGAAATTCCTCTCTGCCTAGATCTCCCGAGTGTAGACCAGTCCTCGTTGATTACAAGTCTGGACGTCCTGGATACAAAGCCTGTCGTCCTTCTTCTCAACACGGACTCTGGCTTAAGGTTTGGTACTATTCTCTCTCGGGTGTTTTTTTTAAAGTCGTTCTTTGCCTTCGGTTTGTTATTGTTGTTAAATTTCATCTGGTCAGTCTTTCAAACAGTCTTGGATTCTCTTTTCTGTTGTGGCCGAATTCGAACAACTTTTGTAAAGTCCTTATCTGAGTGGGACAATTTTCAATTACAAATTAGAGTTTTGTAATTTAATTGAATTTGAATCGATATGTTTCATGAATGCCTCTTTTGATATTGAAACAAGTTTTTCTAAATACAGTTTCGTTGTCCACTGTATGGTGTCCGAGTCATAGAAAGGTACCTGGGCTGAATTCTTCTCCGCCCCCCCCCCCCCCCCCCCCCCCGGATCTAGATACAGGGGCCTTTGTAGTGAGGGAGTTTGGGCAGTTGCTCCTTCAATTGTGGGTCCTGCGTAGGTTTCACTGGGTCGCCCGTCTCCGGTTTTCCCCGTAGCACTAGAATTATATGTTCAATAGGTCTTGCTTATGTATTGAATGGAGTGAGATGTTAGATGGTCGATGTATTGACGTGTTCATGCGGTTCGGTAGGATTTTGATGACTGTTGTTGTCAGCTCGTTGTCATCACCTGTTGTTGACGGATGGAATCACACTCCTGAAACTTTGTAAAGCGAACTTTGGTGAAACTTCTGGTTTTCCATGTAAACCAGTATAATGGAACTTAATAGGGTTTTTACATGTAAACCAGTATAATGCAACTTAATAAGGATTTTTACATGTAAACCACTATAATGTAACCTAATAGGGGTTTTTACATGTAAACCAGTATAAAGCAACTTAATAGGATTTGTACATGTAAACCAGTATAATGCAACCTAATAGGGGTTTTTCCATGTAAACCAGTATAAAGCAACTTAATAGGGATTTTTCCATGTAAACCAGTATAATGCAACTTAATAGGGATTTTTCCATGTAAACCAGTATAATGCAACTTAATAGGGATTTTTCCATGTAAACCAGTATAATGCAACTTAATAGGGATTTTTCCATGTAAACCAGTATAATGCAACTTAATAGGGATTTTTCCATGTAAACCAGTATAATGCAACTTAATAGGGTTTTTACATGTAAACCAGTACAATGCAACTTAATAGGGTTTTTTTCATGTAAACCAGTATAATGCAACTTAATAGGGTTTTTTTTCATGTAAACCAGTATAATGCAACTTAATAGGGTTTTTTTCATGTAAACCAGTATAATGCAACTTAATAGGGATTTTTCCATGTAAACCAGTACAATGCAACTTAATAGGGATTTTTCCATGTAAACCAGTATAATGCAACTTAATAGGGTTTTTTTCATGTAAACCAGTATAATGCAACTTAATGGAGATTTTTCCATGTAAACCAGTATTATGCAACTTAATAGGGATTTTTCCATGTAAACCAGTATAATGCAACTTAATAGGGTTTTTTTCATGTAAACCAGTATAATGCAACTTAATAGGGTTTTTTTTTCATGTAAACCAGTATAATGCAACTTAATGGGGATTTTTCCATGTAAACCAGTATAATGCAACTTAATAGGGTTTTTTTTTTTACATGTAAACCAGTATAATGGAACTTAATAGGGGTTTTTCCATGTAAACCAGTACAATGCAACTTAATAGGGATTTTTCCATGTAAACCAGTATAATGCAACTTAATAGGGTTTTTTTCATGTAAACCAGTATAATGCAACTTAATAGGGTTTTTTTCATGTAAACCAGTATAATGCAACTTAATGTGGATTTTTCCATGTAAACCAGTATAATGCAACTTAATAGGGATTTTTCCATGTAAACCAGTATAATGCAACTTAATAGGGATTTTTCCATGTAAACCAGTATAATGCAACTTAATAGGGATTTTTCCATGTAAACCAGTATAATGCAACTTAATGGGGATTTTTCCATGTAAACCAGTATAATGCAACTTAATAGGGGTTTTTACATGTAAACCAGTATAATGCAACTTAATAGGGTTTTTTCCATGTAAACCAGTATAATGCAACTTAATAGGGATTTTTCCATGTAAACCAGTATAATGCAACTTAATAGGGATTTTTCCATGTAAACCAGTATAATGCAACTTAATAGGGTTTTTTTCATGTAAACCAGTATAATGCCACTTAATAGGGTTTTTTTCATGTAAACCAGTATAATGCAACTTAATGGGGATTTTTCCATGTAAACCAGTATAATGCAACTTAATATGGGTTTTTACATGTAAACCAGTATAATGCAACTTAATAGGGTTTTTTTTTACATGTAAACCAGTATAATGGAACTTAATAGGGTTTTTTACATGTAAACCAGTATAATGGAACTTAATAGGGGTTTTTACATGTAAACCAGTATAATGGAACTTAATAGGGGTTTTTACATGTAAACCAGTATAATGCAACTTAATAGGGATTTTTCCATGTAAACCAGTATAATGCAACTTAATAGGGTTTTTTACATGTAAACCAGTATAATGCAACTTAATGGGGATTTTTCCATGTAAACCAGTATAATGCAACTTAATAGGGGTTTTTACATGTAAACCAGTATAAAGGATAACAGTTTAAAGGATATCAGGAGCTTCAAATACTTCAGGAGTTTCAAAGGATTTTTCAGCTAAATTCCACATTAGATCTGTTCCGCAGTCAATCGCAATGGCTTCAGCCATTGCAAGTTTCTAGTTTACTTTTATACTGTATTGTGGTTTTGTATGAACTGTGCTATAAAAAAAACCCAACTGAGCCACTGTCGCCCCCAAAACATGCCAAAAAACAAAGGAAACTGTAACATAATTTCTTTAATGATGACAGATTTGGGGCCTTTAATTATGACAGATTAGGGCCCTTTAATGATGACAGATTAGTGCCCTTTAATGATGACAGATTAGGGCCCTTTAATGATGACAGATTAGTGCCCTTTAATGATGACAGATTAGGGCCCTTTAATGATGACAGATTAGGGCCCTTTAATGATGACAGATTAGGGCCCTTTATTGATGACAGATTAGTATCCTTTAATGATGACAGATTAGGGCCCTTTACTGATGACAGATTAGGGCCCTTTAATGATGACAGATTAGGGCCCTTTAATGATGACAGTTTAGGGCCCTTTAATGATGACAGATTAGGGCCCTTTAATGATGACAGATTAGGGCCCTTTAATGATGACAGATTATGGGCCCTTTATTGATGACAGATTAGGGCCCTTTAATGATGACAGATTAGGGCCCTTTAATGATGACAGATTAGGGCCCTTTAATGATGACAGTTTAGGGCCCTTTAATGATGACAGATTAGGGCCCTTTAATGATGACAGATTAGGGCCCTTTAATGA